TTGTGACCAGCTTTTTGCCCGCAAGTTTGAGCTGAAGGGGGCCGCTTTTTAATGAAAAAGTATATTTTCCCTTTGGCTTTTGGGTTCTTACAGCAATTTTATAGCACTCAGGCAGACAGTAGATGCTCTTCTCTCTCAGCCATACGGGTTAAATACTATTCTGGTGCTTTTTTGGCAAACATATTTTAGTGTCTTTTTGAAACCCCCCCTGAAGTGAGGATTTTTAATTCCCCTGGAGGTGCCCAAAGTTCATCTATGAAATGGGGGAAAGACAGGGAAACAGGCAGATTTTTTTTTTATATTGAAAATTTCTTTTTGTGTATATTGTGTGAAGGGGGTAAAAACCCAGTGTTTTGGAGGATGTCCCTGTGTGTGTTCCGGGGCCCCCATTATGGGGGGAGTTGACCTAACTTTGGAGCATCCCTCGGAGTAACATCTGCCTGATCGGCAGGTTACCAACGCGTTCCTTCTTCTTATTCTTTCTCTTGACCTGAGATGCCATTCAGCTTCAGGGCATGAGGAGATACTCTGGCGACAGGCTCTTCCTGTTGCGCTTCATATAAAATAACCTCTCTCTTTTCTCTGATTATTTATGTGGTCCGGTATTCTGTTGTGGTCAACTTCTGGATCTGTTACCCCTTCTTGCGTGTATATAACATGGCTCTCTATGGTGCCCTGCCTGCTGCAATTTCTTGTTTTGCTTGGCCAAACCATTTGATTTTTTTCTGCCTATAAAAGTCAGTATTGGTTCTTCTGTGCCGACTTTACTCTCTGCTCTCATCGTTCCTAAGTTGATCTTTCCTCGTTACTCCTAGCATAGTATGTAAACATTTGATTTCTGTTATGACTGTTTTCTTTCTGTCTTCTGAAGATGTCAAAATTTGACATTGATAGCATATCATTGATAATAATATTGTGTTGAACAGTGTACTTTTAGTGAACCAATAGTCTATACATTCAAATAAGCCAAATTTGTAAAACGGATGTGCACACAACACTTAGTGGATGAACACTCAGAACTTTCCGCTGGAGTTTACACCCTATGGATGACACAATGATAATGGATGGGTGGATGGATGAAATGGGATAGATGAATGTAAAGAATGTAGTGTCTGCGTTACATCACATTACTCCCACCTGGTGTTGCATGCTGACATAAGTGGAGCTCTATCATAGTTATAAGGTAGTGGCTGCTTTCCAGGGACCTCATCTAGTTGGCCTGAAGACTGATCTCATGCCCACAGAACAGCAGCTAGTGTCTGCTTTCCAGGGATTTCATCTAGTTGGCCTGAAGACTGATCTCATGCCCACAGAACAGCAGGTAGTGGCTGCTTTCCAGGGACCTCATCTAGTTGGCCTGAAGACTGATCTCATGCCCGACAGAACAGCAGCTAGTGTCTGCTTTCCAGGGACCTTCAATCTAGTTGGCTGAATACTGGTCTCATGCCCACAGAACAGCGATGTAGTTTCTGCTTTCCAGGACCGCTCATCTAAGTTGGCCTGCAAGACTGATCTCATGCCCAAGGGGATGTGTAGCAGATTACTCTGCTGCATTGTGGCTGGCCTGTGTCACTGACAGCTTTATCTGTTCACCTCTTATTGTTGATCAGTACAGAATGATTCATTTCCTTAATGAGTTAATGAACAGAAGTGATTATGTGTAATTTGGATTATGGTTGGTGGGTGTGGATTAGGGGTTAATGGTCCCCAGTAATTGATGAACTGGTTTCATGTCCTTTCAGGAGTTAGTCATCGTCAAAGATGCAGGCTTGAAAAACTGGGTCTGTCAATCAAGGGTGGAGCCTGTCGTGTCTGTCTGACAGCTCAGACACAGATGTGATGAGGGGCTGTCCTAGGTGATCGTTATATCAAGCGGTGAGGTTTTTTCATTACCACAATGCGATGACATCAGAGCTGTTATCATCATACCACAATAGATGACATTAGAGAGGTGGTCACACTACAGTAGATAACATTAGGTGGTCACACCACAATAGATGACATTACAGAGGTGGTCATACCACAATATATGACATTAGAGAGGTGGTCACACCACAGTAGATGACAGAGAGGTGGTCACACCACAATAGATGACATCAGAGAGGTGATCATACCACAATAGATGACATTAGAGAGGTGGTCACACCACAATATATGACATTAGAGAGGTGGTCACACCACAGTAGATGACAGAGAGGTGGTCACACCACAATAGATGACATCAGAGAGGTGATCATACCACAATAGATGACATTAGAGAGGTGGTCACACCACAGTAGATAACATTAGAGAGGTGGTCACACCACAATAGATGACATTAGAGAGGTGGTCACACCACAATAGATGACATTAGAGAGGTGGTCATACCACAATAGATGACATTAGAGAGGTGGTCACACCACAGTAGATGACATTAGAGAGGTGGTCACACCACAATAGATGACATTAGAGAGGTGGTCACACCACAGTAGATAACATTAGAGAGGTGATCATACCACAATAGATGACATTAGAGAGGTGGTCACATCACAATAGATGACATCAGAGAGGTGGTCACACCACAATAGATGACATTAGAGAGGTGGTCACACCACAATAGATGACATTAGAGAGACTAGATCTTGTGTGCAGTTTGTTCAGACAATTGACAATGTTAGAGAGATTGTCTTGTGTATGTGGCTTGATCATATCATGACATAAATGACATGTAGTTCCCCAGGACACATCACATAATTGAGCTTAGTTGAAGAGAATTATTTTGAGAAGGATGCAGTAAAGTAACACAGATAACTTTACATCATATCTTTTTGCGGAATTAACAAATGGTGATGATGATGAAGATGATGAGAGGCAAGGAGCAGACAACACTGATATTGTGGCAGAGACACGGGTAGATTGTGTCTGTTGTCTCATATAGCACCTATTTGTGATCTGAGACTTGTATCTCTGCTGTGATTCTGTTCCCTAGATCAACGAAGGCGGGGCTGCTGCTAGAGATGGACGACTCAAGGCTGGCCAGAGAATATTGGAGGTAGGTGTCTCTGTTATTCTTGCACTCTCAGGTTGACCCAGTAATAGATTAAGGCTTCACAAGTTTCTAGGAGTCACAAGCTCATGTTATGTCTGCCTTAGTGTCTGTTGCTGTCACATGTCAGGTATATTAGAGTTTAGTCTCTGTTGCTGTCACATGTCAGGTACATTAGAGTTTAGTGTCTGTTGCTGTCACATGTCAGGTACATTAGAGTTTAGTGTCTGTTGCTGTCACATGTCAGGTACATTAGAGTTTAGTGTCTGTTTAAGCTGTCACATGTCCAGGTACATTAGAGTGTTAGTGTCTGTTGCTGTCACAATGTCAGGTACATTAGAGTTTAGTGTCTGTTGCTGTCAACAATGTCAGGTACATAGAGTTTAGTGTCTGTTGCTGTCACATGTCAGGTACATTAGAGTTTAGTCTCTGTTTGCTGTCACATGTCAGGTATATTAGAGTTTAGTGTTTGTTGCTGTTCACATGTCAGGTACATTAGGTGTAGTGTTTGTTGCTGGTCACATGTCAGGTATATTAGAGTTTATAGTCTCTGTTGCTGTCACATGTCAGGTATATTAGAGTTTAGTGTCTGTTGCTGTCACATGTCAGGTACTTAGAGTTTAGTGTCTGTTGCTGTCACATTGTCAGAGTACCATTAGAGTTTAGTGTCTGTTGCTGTCACATGTCAGGTACATTAGAGTTTAGTGTCCTGTTGCTGTCACATGTCAGGTTATATTAGAGTTTAGTGTCTGTTGCTTGTCACATGTCAAGGTATATTAGAGTTTAGTGTCTGTTGCTGTCACATGTCAGGTACATTAGAGTTTAGTGTCTGTTGCTGTCACATGTCAGGTACATTAGAGTTTAGTCTCTGTTGCTGTCACATGTCAGGTACATTAGAGTTTAGTGTCTGTTGATGTCACATGTCAGGTATATTAGAGTTTAGTGTCTGTTGCTGTCACATGTCAGGTACATTAGAGTTTAGTGTCTGTTGCTGTCACATGTCAGGTATATTAGAGTTTAGTGTCTGTTGCTGTCACATGTCAGGTACATTAGAGTTTAGTGTCTGTTGCTGTCACATGTCAGGTATATTAGAGTTTAGTGTCTGTTGCTGTCACATGTCAGGTACATTAGAGTTTAGTGTCTGTTGCTGTCACATGTCAGGTATATTAGAGTTTAGTCTCTGTGCTGTCACATGCAGGTACATTAGAGTTTAGTGTCTGTTGCTGTCACATGTCAGGTACATTAGAGTTTAGTCTCTGTTGCTGTCACATGTCAGGTATATTAGAGTTTAGTGTCTGTTGCTGTCACATGTCAGGTACATTAGAGTTTAGTGTCTGTTGCTGTCACATGTCAGGTATATTAGAGTTTAGTGTCTGTTGCTGTCACATGTCAGGTATATTAGAGTTTAGTGTCTGTTGCTGTCACATGTCAGGTATATTAGAGTTTAGTGTCTGTTGCTGTCACATGTCAGGTATATTAGAGTTTAGTCTCTGTTGCTGTCACATGTCAGGTATATTAGAGTTTAGTGTCTGTTGCTGTCACATGTCAGGTATATTAGAGTTTAGTCTCTGTTGCTGTCACATGTCAGGTATATTAGAGTTTAGTCTCTGTTGCTGTCACATGTCAGGTATATTAGAGTTTAGTGTCTGTTGCTGTCACATGTCAGGTATATTAGAGTTTAGTCTCTGTTGCTGTCACATGTCAGGTATATTAGGGTTTAGTGTTTGTTGCTGTCACATGTCAGGTATATTAGAGTTTAGTGTCTGTTGCTGTCACATGTCAGGTATATTAGAGTTTAGTGTTTGTTGCTGTCACATGTCAGGTATATTAGAGTTTAGTGTTTGTTGCTGTCACATGTCAGGTATATTAGAGTTTAGTCTCTGTTGCTGTCACATGTCAGGTATATTAGAGTTTAGTGTCTGTTGCTGTCACATGTCAGGTATATTAGAGTTTAGTGTCTGTTGCTGTCACATGTCAGGTACATTAGAGTTTAGTGTCTGTTGCTGTCACATGTCAGGTATATTAGAGTTTAGTGTCTGTTGCTGTCACATGTCAGGTACATTAGAGTTTAGTGTCTGTTGCTGTCACATGTCAGGTATATTAGAGTTTAGTGTCTGTTGCTGTCACATGTCAGGTACATTAGAGTTTTTAGTGTGTGTTGCTGTCACATGTCAGGTTATATTAGAGTTTAGTGTCTGTTTGCTGTCACATGTCAGGTATATTAGAGTTTAGTGTCTGTTGCTGTCACATGTCAGGTATATTAGAGTTTAGTCTCTGTTGCTGTCACATGTCAGGTATATTAGAGTTTAGTGTCTGTTGCTGTCACATGTCAGGTATATTAGAGTTTAGTCTCTGTTGCTGTCACATGTCAGGTATATTAGGGTTTAGTGTTTGTTGCTGTCACATGTCAGGTATATTAGAGTTTAGTGTCTGTTGCTGTCACATGTCAGGTATATTAGAGTTTAGTGTTTGTTGCTGTCACATGTCAGGTATATTAGAGTTTAGTGTTTGTTGCTGTCACATGTCAGGTATATTAGGGTTTAGTGTTTGTTGCTGTCACATGTCAGGTATATTAGAGTTTAGTCTCTGTTGCTGTCACATGTCAGGTATATTAGGGTTTAGTGTTTGTTGCTGTCACATGTCAGGTATATTAGAGTTTAGTCTCTGTTGCTGTCACATGTCAGGTACATTAGAGTTTAGTGTCTTAACTGTTTGCTCTTACCTGTCCAAGTACGCCATAATTTAATGTCTGGCTGTTTGCTCTCACCTGACCAAGTACATCAGAGTTTTGTGTCTGACTGTTGCTCTCGCTGTCCAAGTGTATAAGAGTTTTGTGTCTGACTGTTGCTCTCGCTGTCCAAGTGTTTGAGAGTTTTGTGTCTGACTGTTGCTCTCGCTGTCCAAGTGTTTGAGAGTTTTGTGTCTGACTGTTGCTCTCGCTGTCCAAGTGTTTGAGAGTTTTGTGTCTGACTGTTGCTCTCGCTGTCCAAGTGTTTGAGAGTTTTGTGTCTGACTGTTGCTCTCGCTGTCCAAGTGTTTGAGAATGTTTTATCTGACTTGTTGTTGTCAACTGTCCAGGTGTATGAGAATGTTTTATCTGACTGTTGCTCTCGCTGTCCAAGTGTATGAGAACTGTTTGTCAACTGTTTGCTTGTCAACTGTCTAAGTGTATGAGAATGTTTTGTGTTGTTGTCCAACTGTTGCTTTTTTTCTGACTGTCCAAGCTGTAAGTGTATGAGAATGTTTTATCTAACTGTTGTTGTCAACTATCCAAGTGTATGAGAATGTTTTATCTAATGGTTTTGTCCATCTGTATGAGATTGTTTTGTCTGACTGTTGTCATGTATGAGAATGTTTTATCTGACTGTTGTTGTCAGCTATCCAAGTGTATGAGAATGTTTTATCTGACTGTTGTTGTCAATTATCCAGGTGTATGAGAATGTTTTATCTAACTGTTGTTGTCAACTGTCAAGGTGAATGAGAATGTTTTATCTGACTGTTGTTGTCAACTGTCCAGGTGTATGAGAATGTTTTATTTAACTGTTGTTGTCAACTGTCCAGGTGAATGGCCAGTCCTTGCTGGGCAGCAGTCATCAAGAGGCAGTTCGAGCCCTGCGCAGTGTGGGCGACAAGATGACCATCCTAGTGTGTGATCAGCCCCCAGAGAAACCTGAGGGCAACTCTCCCGGAGAGCTGTCATCTCCCAGTAGCCAGGGCGGCTTCCTCTCCTCGCTTCACGGGTCAGTGTCCAGCATCGACAAGGTGGACGAGGAGACTCGTTTCATACAGCAGGTGAGTGGTCATGTCTCCTTGTACTTGCTGGGGATTTCCGTGTGTGCATATGTTCTAGCAGTGTTGTTGGTGAACTTGTGCGTGTGTATGTGTGCGCACGTGTTCACAACACACACAAACACCAACACTTTTAATTATTTCTCACACACATTTTCTTTTCACACATATTCTCTCGCGGTGTTGCACGCACGCGCATGTGCACACACACACACACACAAAACACCCCCCCAACCCCAACTCTCTAGATATTGCACTGCTTGCACTGACACACATACACACACAAATGCAAGTGCACATACACACGCATTCTCTCTCACATTCTCTCCTCTCATACACACTGGCATCAATTTGTTTTCCATCTGTAAAGTGAATTTGGCACATTATGTTGTGGTTTACAGCTAAGTTATAATATCTACACCTTTCAACCAATGCTGTAAGACATGCTTGCTAGAGGGCAGAGGATCTTCCCCCATCCACCCACACGGGGGCCTGGAACCCTCATTGCAAACATGCTTTCATTTTTGTAGTTGTTTTCTGCCTCATTCCCAGTTTGAGACAGTGCACATTGTTATCATAAACCCATTTATCCTGCCCCCCCCCCCCCCCCGACCCCCCAGACCCCCCAGACCCCCAGACCCCCCCTTCAATAAACCAACACACATTCTTCTTACATAGTTTCCTTGTTTAAATTTTGCATGCTGTGTTTTGGATGTTGTATGTTGTAGTTTGGATGTTGTATGTTGTAGTTTGGATGTTGTATGTTGTAGTTTGGATGTTGTATGTTGTAGTTTGGATGTTGTATGTTGTAGTTTGGATGTTGTATGTTGTAGTTTGGATGTTGTATGTTGTAGTTTGGATGTTGTATGTTGTAGTTTGGATGTTGTATATTGTAGTTTGGATGTTGTATGTTTGATGTTGCATGTTTCTCTCTGTTGTCTAGGAGCAGGCCATTGTTAAGGAGACCCAGGAGTGGGAGAGAGAAGATCAGGTACTCATCAACTTTATTACAAACTTATGTAGCTAGGTACACAGTTGAGAGTTGGTTGGCTTTTGTGGCATTCAGACTCATGTAGCTAGGTACATAGTTGAGAGTTGGTTGGCTTTTGTGGCATACAGACTCATGTAGCTAGGTACATAGTTGAGAGTTGGTTGGCTTTTGTGGCATACAGACTCATGTAGCTAGGTACTTAGTTGAGAGTTGGTTGGCTTTTGTGGCATTCAGACTCATGTAGCTAGGTACATAGTTGAGAGTTGGTTGGCTTTTGTGGCATACAGACTCATGTAGCTAGGTACATAGTTGAGAGTTGGTTGGCTTTTGTGGCATACAGACTCATGTAGTCACAAGGTGACACAGCTACAGGCTTAGTCACAAAGTGACATAGCTACATAGTTACAAGGTGATACAGCTACAGGCTTAGTCACAAAGTGACATAGCTACATAGTTACAAGGTGATACAGCTACAGACTTAGTCACAAAGTGACATAGCTACATAGTTACAAGGTGATACAGCTACAGACTTAGTCACAAAGTGACATAGCTACATAGTTACAAGGTGATACAGCTACAGACTTAGTCACAAGGTGACACAGCTACAGGCTTAGTCACAAAGTGACATAGCTACATAGTTACAAGGTGATACAGCTACAGACTTAGTCACAAGGTGACACAGCTACATAGTTACAAGGTGATACAGCTACAGGCTTAGTCACAAAGTGACATAGCTACATAGTTACAAGGTGATACAGCTACAGACTTAGTCACAAGGTGACAGCTACAGACTTAGTCACAAGGTGACATAGCTACAGACTAGTCACAAGGTGGCATAGCTACAGACTTAGTCACAAGGTGATACAGCTACAGACTTAGTCACAAGGTGACGTAGCTACAGACTTAGTTACAAGGTGATACAGCTACAGACTAAGTCACAAGGTGACATAGCTACAGTCTCATTCACTAGGTGAGACAGCTACAGAATTAGTCACAAGGTGATTCAGCTACAGAATTAGTCACAATGTGATACAGATGCAGACTTAGTCACAAGGTGTTACAGCTAGAGATTTAGTCACAAGGTGCCATAGCTACAGACTTAGTCACAAGGTGACATAGCTACAAACTTAGTCACAAGGTGACATAGCTACAGACTTAGCCACAATGTGATACAGATGCAGACTTAGTCACAAGGTGACATAGCTACAGACTTAGTCACAATGTGTTACAGCTAGAGATTTAGTCACAAGGTGCCATAGCTACAGACTTAGTCACAAGGTGACATAGCTACAAACTTAGTCACAAGGTGACATAGCTACAGACTTAGCCACAATGTGATACAGATGCAGACTTAGTCACAAGGTGACATAGCTACAGACTTAGTCACAAGGTGACATAGCTACAGACTTAGTCACAAGGTGACATAGCTACAGACTTAGTCACAATGTGTTACAGCTAGAGATTTAGTCACAAGGTGCCATAGCTACAGACTTAGTCACAAGGTGACATAGCTACAGACTAGTCACAAGGTGACATAGCTACAGACTAGTCACAAGGTGACATAGCTACAGACTTAGTCACAAGGTGACATAGCTACAGACTTAGTCACAAGGTGACATAGCTACAGACTTAGTCACAATGTGTTACAGCTAGAGATTTAGTCACAAGGTGCCATAGCTACAGACTTAGTCACAAGGTGTCATAGCTACAAACTTAGTCACAAGGTGCCATAGCTACAGACTTAGCCACAATGTGATACAGATGCAGACTTAGTCACAAGGTGACATAGCTACAGACTTATTCACAAGGTGTTACAACTAGAGATTTAGTCACAAGGTGCCATAGCTACATACTTAGTCACAAGGTGACATAGCTACATACTTAGTCACAAGGTGACATAGCTACAGACTTAGTCACTAGGTGACATAGCTACAGACTGCCTGAGACTTTTAGCTGCATGCTGGCTTGTGTATAAAACCACTATTGACTTATCCACATGGGTAGCTGGCTGTTGTTCAGTGTGGTTTGTGGCAGCAGTATTGCATGTTTTATCTTGACTCATTTCAGCATTGGTCTTGTCTCTGTGTGTAGTATCATGTTTCCACTTGCATATCTCTCTCTCTCTCTCTCTCTCTCTCTCTCTCTCTCTCTCTCTCTCTCTCTCTCTCTCTCTCTCTCTCTCTCTCTCTCTCTCTCTCTCTCTCTCTCTCTCTCTTTTTTTCTCTCTCTCTCTCTCTCTCTCTCTCTCTCTCTCTCTCTCTCTCTCTCTCTCTCTCTCTCTCTATGTATGTATGTATATATGTATATATATATATATATATATATATATATATATATATATCAATTTTAAAGACTCTTTCAAAGTAAATGAGGAAAGACTAGACAGACTATTTTAAAGTAAATGAGGAAAGACTAGACAGGACTATTTTAAAGTAAATGGATAAAGTCCAGACAGGACTATTTAAAAAAATGGATAAAGACCAGACAGGACTATTTAAATAAATGGATAAAGACTAGACAGGAGTATTTAAGTAAATGGATAAAGACCAGACAAGACTATTTAAGTAAATGGATAAAGACCAGACAGGAGTATTTAAGTAAAAGAGGAAAGACCAGTGGGGACTACTAAAAGAAGAAAGACCAGACAGGAGTATTTAAGTAAAAGAAGAAAGACCAGTGGGGACTACTAAAAGAAGAAAGAGTTGTTCAAATTAGGGAAGGGAAGCCTGGCTGTTACATGTACCTTTATGTGAATGTTTGTGCCTGCGAATGCAGTGTAGTGCTTGCCCGCATGGCTAGGACACTTGACCTTCTTGTCTGCAGGAGCAGCTGAGAAAATTGAAGGACAGAGACAGTGAACTGTCACCCTCATCTCCTAGTGTCACTTTCCCTGTGTCTAGCCCAATGTTGCCGCCAGAACAAGTCAAGCAGCTCATGCATGAGGACAGACCAAACATCCGCATCCCTCCGTCTGTCACAGTCAGTGATGTTTGTGTCTGTTAAGTCACATTTACTGTCAGTCCTTCTTAGTCACTGTGTTATTGTTTTATAGTGACACTAGACTTAGACACAGCCTAGTGTTTGTTTGTTAGTCACAGCAAGTGTTTGATAGTCACAGCCAGTGTTTGATAGTCACAGCCAGTGTTTGATAGTCACAGCCTAGTGTTTGTTAGTCACAGCCAGTTTTTGTTTGTTAGTCACAGCCAGTGTTTGATAGTCACAGCCAGTGTTTGATATTTTCAGGTTATGTTAGACTTCGGCCAGAGACAGAATTGTTTAGTCAGTTATATTTCTTTTTCAGGCGTAGTAGCCTATGTTTGTTATAGTCTACCCCTGCCAGTGTCCTGGTTGGTTAGCACAGTCACAGCCAGTGTCCTGGTTGGTTAGCACAGTCACAGCCAGTGTCCTGGTTGGTTAGCACAGTCACAGCCAGTGTCCTGGTTGGTTAGCACAGCAGTCACAGCCAGTGTCCTGGTTGGTTAGCACAGTCACAGCCAGTGTCCTGGTTGGTTAGCACAGTCACAGCCAGTGTCCTGGTTGGTTAGCACAGTCACAGCCAGTGTCCTGGTTGGTTAGCACAGTCACAGCCAGTGTCCTGGTTGGTTAGCACAGTCACAGCCAGTGTCCTGGTTGGTTAGCACAGTCACAGCCAGTTTTCTCCTCACAGCCAGGACTCATATATGTGTGTGTGTGTGTGTGTGTGTGTGTGTGTGTGTGTGAGTGACTGAAGGCATGTACAATTCAGAATCATCTGTCTTTGTGGACATTCTGAGTACAGCCTGCATGTGTCTGTAGACTTGGGTGAGTGAGTGCGTTTCACAGCTACAATGTGTTTGAATTTCACAACTACAGTGTGTTTGCATGTCACAGCTACAGTGTGTTTGCCTGTCACAGCTACAAAATGTTTGCATGTCACAGCTACAGTTTGTTTACATGTCACAGCTACAGTATGTTTGCATGTCACAGCTACAGTTTGTTTGCATGTCACAGCTACAATGTGTTTACATGTCACAGCTACAGTGTGTTTGCCTGTCACAGCTACAAAATGTTTGCATGTCACAGCTACAGTGTGTTTGCATGTCACTCACAGCTACAGTTTGTTTGCATGTCACAGCTACAGTATGTTTGCATGTCACAGCTACAGTATGTTTGCATGTCACAGCTACAGTATGTTTGCATGTCACAGCTACAGTATGTTTGCATGTCACAGCTACAGTATGTTTGCATGTCACAGCTACAGTGTGTTTGCATGTCACAGCTACAGTGTGCTTGCATGTCACAGCTACAGTGTGTTTGCGTGTCACAGCTACAGTGTGTTTGCATGTCACAGTTGCAGTGTGTTTGCATGTCACTCACAGCTACAGTTTGCCTGTCACAGCTACACTGCTTCTGTACGTTACGGCTTATAACCAACAGACTTGTCTGTCACTGTCTCAGCTAGACAACAACCATGTTTCAGTTTGCTGAAAGACTAAGCTGAGGTTGTCACAGATGTCTGTTTTATGTCTGTGGTGAGTTGAGAGGTCTGATGATACAGACCATTGACTGATTGTACCGCTGTTTGTGACATGTAGAGAGAGAGAGAGATCATACAGACAGATTGTATGGCTGTCTGACATTAGAGAGAGATCAGACAGTTGATTGTATTGCTGTCTGTGACATGTAGAGAGAGAGAGATATACAGGCAGTTGACTGATTGTATTGCTGTCTGTGACATGTAGAGAGAGAGATATACAGACAGTTGGCAGATTGTATTGCTGTCTGTGACATGTAGAGAGAGAGATATACAGACAGTTGGCAGATCGTATTGCTGTCTGCGACATGTAGTGAGAGAGAAATAGACAGTTGACTGATTGTATTGCTGTCTGTGACATGTAGAGAGAGAGAAATAGACAGTTGACAGATTGTATTGCTGTCTGTGACATGTAGAGAGAGAGAAATAGACAGTTGACAGATTGTATTGCTGTCTGTGACATGTAGAGAGAGATCAGACAGACAGTTGACCGATTTTATTGCTGTCTGTGACATGTAGAGAGAGAGATCAGACAGACAGTTGACTGATTGTATTGCTGTCTGTGACATATAAAGAGGGATCAGACAGACAGTTGACTGATTGTATTGCTGTCTGTGACATGTAGAGAGAGATCAGACAGACAGTTGACTGATTGTATTGCTGTCTGTGACATGTAGAGAGAGATCAGACAGACAGTTGACTGATTGTATTGCTGTCTGTGACAGAGAGAGAGAGAGAGAGAGAGAGAGAGATCAGACAGACAGTTGGCAGATTTTATAGCTGTCTCTGACATGTAAAGAGAGATCAGACAGACAGTTGGCAGATTTTATTGCTGTCTGTGACATGTAAAGAGAGATCAGACAGACAGTTGACTGATTGTATTGCTGTCTGTGACATGTAGAGAGAGATCAGACAGACAGTTGACCAATTTTATTGCTGTCTGTGACATGTAAAGAGAGATCAGACAGTCAGTTGACTGATTTTATTGCTGTCTGTGACATGTAGAGAGAGATGCACACAGTTGATTGATTGTATTGCTGTCTGTGACATGTAGAGAGAGATCAGACAGTTGGCAGATTTTATTTGCTGTCTGTGACATGTAGAGAGATCAGACAGACAGTTGACAGATTTTATTGCTGTCTGTGACATGTAGAGAGAGATCAGACAGACAGTTGGCAGATTTTATTGCTGTCTGTGACATGTAGAGAGAGATCAGACAGACAGTTTATTGCTGTCTGTGACATGTAGAGAGAGATCAGACAGACAGTTGACAGATTTTATTGCTGTCTGTGACATGTAGAGAGAGATCAGACAGACAGTTGACTGATTTTTTTGCTGTCTCATGTAGAGAGTGATCAGACAGACAGTTGACCAATTTTATTGCTGTCTGTGACATGTAGAGAGATATGCACACAGTTGACTGATTGTATTGCTGTCTGTGACATGTAGAGAGAGATCATACAGACAGTTGACCGATTTTATTGCTGTCTGTGACATGTAAAGAGAGATCAGACAGACAGTTGACTGATTTTATTGCTGTCTGTGACATGTAGAGAGAGATCAGACAGACAGTTGACAGATTTTATTGCTGTCTGTGACATGTAGAGAGAGATCAGACAGACAGTTGACTGATTTTATTGCTGTCTTATGTAGAGAGAGATCAGACACACAGTTGACAGATTTATTTGCTATCTGTGACATGTAAAGAGAGATCAGACAGACAGTTGACTGATTTTATTGCTGTCTGTGACATGTAGAGAGAGATGCACACAGTTGATTGATTGTATTGCTGTCTGTGACCTGAGAGAGAGATCATACAGACAGTTGACTGATTGTATTGCTGTCTGTGACATGTAGAGAGAGAGATCATTCAGACATTAGACTGATTGTATTGTTGTCTGGAACATATAGAGAGAGAGATCAGACAGACATTAGACTGATTGTATTGTTGTCTGGAACATATAGAGAGAGAGTTCAGACAGACAGTTGGCTGATTGTATTTCTGTCTGGGACATGTAGAGAGAGAGAGATGACTGATTGTATTTTGGTCAGGGACATGTGGAGAGAGATCATATAGACACTTGGCTGATTGTATTGCTTCTGTCTGACAAGAAGAGAGACGGTTGACTGGTTGATATCATACACACATTTGACTGATTGCATTGCCTGTGTCTGCAGCCAGTCAGCACTTCTGTGATGAACAAACCAGTGCCTGTCAGACCGTCAGTCGCAGACAAGCCAGCAGCCAACAGCCCTGGGGTAAGTGACTGATCTCTGTTGCATCTTTCTGCCATCGCTAGAAGCAGTCACTTCAGTGCTAGATTTTCTTATGTTGTCTGTGTTCTCTCCCCCCTCCCCCTCCCCCCATTTGTCTCAGCTTTGTGATGTCTTTCCAGAGCCTAACCTGATCAGTTGTGATACTCAGTGAGGCAGCGGGATAGGATAGACAGAATTAAAGTGATAGTGACAGTAGAATTGATGGACAGGGACAGCATTAATGATAGATGGGGACAGCAGAATTGATGGACAGGGACAGCAGTAATGATAGATGGTGACAGCAGAATTGATGGACAGTTATAAGACATAAAAAGCTGTAATAGGATATACAGTGTCTGGAATTGTAGGAAGAAGAAAATTATCAACGTTATCATGACAGCTATAATAGAAAGTGAAAACTATGATAGAAGGTGATGTGTCAAAGAATAACTGGAAATCAGAGGTGGGAGACATACTGCTGTATTAGAAAGTGACAATTATGATACAACAGGCCAATCATTGTGGAAATGAAACAGCTGTGGAAAAAAGTAGCTATCATAGGATAGCTAGGAACTATCAGACAAGATTGAAACTTCTATACCACAGGGTAGCCAGGAACTATCAGATAGGACTGAAACTTATTTTTATACAACAAGGTAGTCAGGAACTGTCAAACACGACTGAAACTTACCGCTATACTGAAGGATAGCCAGGAACTATCAGCCAAGACTGAACCTTACCTATATACCCCAGGGTAGCCAGGAACTATCAGACAAGACTGAAACTTACCTCTATACTGAAGGATAGCCAAGAACTATCAGACAAGACTGAACCCTACCTTTATACCCCAGATTAGCCAGGAACTATCAGACAAGACTGAAACTTACCTCTATACTGATGGATAGCCAGGAACTATCAGACGAGACTGAAACTTACCTCTATACCCCAGGGTAGCCAGGAACTATCAGACAAGACTGAAACTTACCTCTATACCCCAGGGTAGCCAGGAACTGTCAGACAAGACTGAAACTTACCTCTATACCCCAGGGTAGAGGTGAGAAGAACATGTGAAAGGAAATAGATAAAATAAAGATAAACTGTGGCAAAGATAGAATTAGCAAGAATGATTAAGGCTGAAAGAAAAGGATTTAATTAATGATAAAATGGCTGAAGGACACTAGAGAAGGACCTGAAGGGAAAAGAATGTCACAGTGCAGGGAGAGAATGGCTCAAGAAAAATAGAGGATAACTCAAAAGAATAAATGGTGTGGTCAATGGAGAGAATGGCTCAAGGAAAATAGAAAGTGGATCAAAGGAAAGAGGGAATGATTAGGTCAGATGGGAATTAAAGGTAAGAGAGGATGATTTAGTCAAAGTAGAGAATGATTTGAAGAAAAAAAAGGATGACTTAAAGGGGGAAAAAGGATTGTGTTCTAGGGGTACCTTGCTTGCATCTTGAACTAGTCAGCATTGAATGTGTCATTGTCCGTCTTTGACTATGTGGGGCCTCACTGACAGCATGCAGGATGTGTGCCCTGATGGTGATGTGTTGACTGTTGTAACTTTCTCTTGATGTAGCTAGATCCTCTCTTTGCATGTTCTTATGTGTTTGATTCATTTGTTGTACCCACCTGGGTTCCGGGTCCCATTACGATGAAAACAAGAATGCACCCACTGTCTCCTAAATAAGGATGTTGTAAGGGTAGGCTAATAAGGGGTTTACTTCAGAGTTGGAGTATATCTGCCTGAGAGACATGGGGCCAACAGTCTGCATACAAGTCAGTCAGATCTGTAAAGTGGATGTGCACGCAACACATGGAACAAGACTAAAGTCCAGAAGTTCACAGACAACCAGAACTTTCTGCCAGAGTTTACAGTCGGTGAACACTGGACACAGGCAGACACCAGCTGTCTAGATATCAACAACATCTTCATTGCCAGTGTTACCTATATCATGACCATGAGTGTTAGCCCTACCAGCAGCACACAGCTGGAGACAAAGCACACAGTTCATGTGTTAGCCCTACCAGCAGCATACAGTTCATGTGTTAGCCCTACTAGCAGCACACAGTTCATGTGTTAGCCCTACTAGCAGCACACAGTTCATGTGTTAGCCCTACCAGCAGCACACAGTTCATGTGTTAGCCCTACCAGCAGCACACAGTTCATGTGTTAGCCCTACCAGCAGCACACAGTTCATGTGTTAGCCCTATCTTCAGCACACAGCTGGAGACAAAGCACACAGTTCATGTGTTAGCCCTACCAGCAGCACACAGTTCATGTGTTAGCCCTACTAGCAGCACACAGTTCATGTGTTAGCCCTACTAGCAGCACACAGTTCATGTGTTAGCCCTACTAGCAGCACACAGTTCATGTTAGCCCTACCAGCAGCACACAGTTCACGTGTTAGCCCTACCAGCAGTACACAGTTCATGTGTTAGCCCTACCAGCAGCACACAGTTCACGTGTTAGCCCTACCAGCAGCACACAGTTCATGTGTTAGCCCTACCAGCAGCACACAGTTCATGTGTTAGCCCTACCAGCAGCACACAGTTCATGTGTTAGCCCTACTAGCAAAGCACACAGTTCATGTGTTAGCCCTACCAGCAGCACACAGTTCATGTGTTAGCCCTACCAGCAGCACACAGTTCATGTGTTAGCCCTACTAGCAGCACACAGTTCATGTTAGCCCTACCAGCAGCACACAGTTCACGTGTTAGCCCTACCAGCAGTACACAGTTCATGTGTTAGCCCTACCAGCAGCACACAGTTCACGTGTTAGCCCTACCAGCAGCACACAGTTCATGTGTTAGCCCTACCAGCAGCACACAGTTCATGTGTTAGCCCTACCAGCAGCACACAGTTCATGTGTTAGCCCTACTAGCAGCACACAGTTCATGTGTTAGCCCTACCAGCAGCACACAGTTCATGTGTTAGCCCTACCAGCAGCACACAGTTCATGTGTTAGCCCTACCAGCAGCACACAGTTCATGTGTTAGCCCTACCAGCAGCACACAGTTCATGGTTAGCCCTACTAGCAGCACACAGTTCATGTGTTAGCCCTACTAGCAGCACACAGTTCATGTTAGCCCTACCAGCAGCACACAGTTCACGTGTTAGCCCTACCAGCAGTACACAGTTCATGTGTTAGCCCTACCAGCAGCACACAGTTCACGTGTTAGCCCTACCAGCAGCACACAGTTCATGTGTTAGCCCTACCAGCAGCACACAGTTCATGTGTTAGCCCTACCAGCAGCACACAGTTCATGTGTTAGCCCTACCAGCAGCACACAGTTCATGTGTTAGCCCTACCAAGCAGCACACAGTTCATGTGTTAGCCCTACCAGCAGCACACAGTTCATGTGTTAGCCCTACCAGCAGCACACAGTTCATGTGTTAGCCCTACTAGCAGCACACAGTTCATGTGTTAGCCTTACTGGCAGTACACTGTTCATGTGTTAGCCCTACCAGCAGCACACAGTTGGAGATGAAGCACACAGTTCATGTGTTAGCCCTACCAGCAGCACACAGTTCATGTGTTAGCCCTACTAGCAGCACACAGTTCATGTGTTAGCCCTACCAGCAGCACACAGTTCACGTGTTAGCCCTACCAGCAGTACACAGTTCATGTGTTAGCCCTACCAGCAGCACACAGTTCATGTGTTAGCCCTACCAGCAGCACACAGTTCATGTGTTAGCCCTACCAGCAGCACACACAGTTCATGTGTTAGCCCTACTAGCAGCACACAGTTCATGTGTTAGCCCTACCAGCAGCACACAGTTCACGTGTTAGCCCTACCAGCAGTACACAGTTCATGTGTTAGCCCTACCAGCAGCACACAGTTCATGTGTTAGCCCTACCAGCAGCACACAGTTCATGTGTTAGCCCTACCAGCAGCACACAGTTCATGTGTTAGCCCTACTAGCAGCACACAGTTCATGTGTTAGCCCTACCAGCAGCACACAGTTCATGTGTTAGCCCTACCAGCAGCACACAGCTGGAGACAAAGCACACAGTTCATGTGTTAGCCCTACCAGCAGCACACAGCTGGAGACAAAGCACACAGTTCATGTGTTAGCCCTACTAGCATCACACAGCTGGAGACAAAGCACACAGTTCATGTGTTAGCCCTACCAGCAGCACACAGCTGGAGATGAAGCACACAGTTCATGTGTTAGCCCTACCAGCAGCACACAGCTGGAGATGAAGCACACAGTTCATGTGTTAGCCCTACTAGCAGCACACAGCTAGAATTAAATGATACTATTAACTTAGTTTACAAATATGATAACATTTATCTTCATTCTCACTTGTGTCTTCTGAAATGGCATTAGCAACAGTGTTTGTCCAAATGTTGCAAAAAATAAGTGAACAAAAATTAAAGAGGGTAACAGAATCATAGACATTTGATTAAAATACAAGAATCTCAAACACAAACAACACACAAAAAGGTCGCAGAGGCAGAAACATGACAAAACATGAGGGGATCACAGAGGCAGAAACATGACAAAACATAAGGCGATCACAGACCCAGAAACATGACAAAACATGAGGGGATCACAGAGGCAGAAACATGACAAAACATGAGGGGATCACAGAGGCAGAAACATGACAAAACATGAGGGGATCACAGAGGCAAAAACATGAGGGGATCACAGAGGCAGAAACATGACAAAACATGAGGGGATCACAGAGGCAGAAACATGACAAAATATGAGGGGATCACAGAGGCAGAAACATGACAAAACATGAGGGGATCACAGAGGCAGAAACATGACAAAACATGAGGGGATCACAGAGGCAGAAACATGACAAAACATGAGGGGATCACAGAGGCAGAAACATGACAAAACATGAGGGGATCTCTGAGTGCATCACGCATGAAATTGACTGCCATCTCTCATCACGCATGGAACTGACTGCCGTCTCTCATCACGCATATCTGATATATTGGTCTCTCTCAGGCATTGCCACAGTATTTAGCTTTCCATTGTAGCATGTTGAGATTGTTTGGCATCCATATCTGTGTGTGTATGAGCTGTCCCATCATCCATGGATGTGTGTGTATGAGCTGTGCCATCATCCATGGATGTGTGTTATGAGCTGTGCCATCATCCATGGATGTGTGTGTATGAGCTGTGCCATCATCCATGGATGTGTGTGTATGAGCTGTGCCATCATCCATGAATGTTATTTGCATTGCTTGTATATTGTCTGATCCACTGTTTGCATGCAGCTGACCAAGGACCTCCACCCAAGTGCCATTCCCAGACCTACAGCCCCATCTCCTCCCAGCAAAGCCCCAAGCAGCCTCTCTTCTTCAGCCACCACCACCTCTGCAGCAGCCTCTCGATTCAGCGCCTCATTGATTGCCCCCAGACCCTTCTCTGCCCCACGCCCAGCTCCATTTATAGTTCCACCCAAGCTGTCTTCTCTCAACTCATCAGACGCCAGCAAAATATCACCTCCTCAGCCGGCCCCTCTGTCACTTTCTCCCCGACCTGCCCCCTTGTTGGTTTCTCCCAGAGCTACTCCTTTGTCAACTTCTCCCAGACCTGCCCCTTTTGCTCCGCCGCCAAAACCAGCCCCCAAACCTGTGTTCAAACCACTTCTGGCACCGAAACCTGGCCATGCCCAAGGAGGTGGAGACAGTTTGCCAGACCAGACTTCTGATGTGAGAAAATCTGCACGACTGCCGTCTGGGATTGGCTCGTTGGCAGGGAAGGTAAAGTATGGCTCCCTCCCCAACTAGACACTGTCTGGAGGATGGGTGTGTGCCACATACATGATGTGTATGTCGTATACCAGATGGATGTGTGTATGCAAGAGAGCATGCCTGATTATTGATTGTTCTTTGACTAACTGGCTTGTTTTTAGAGAAATTAATCTCTCATACTGTTGTCCATGATGTGTTTAACAAGACTGTTCTATTTGCATGAGTTAACACTGGGTTGTCACTTACTGCTGTTCATGTTGTGTTTAACCAGCTAATCTGCTGTGCATGAGTTCACGCATGCCGGCATCTCAGTCTGCTGCCTGTGTGTGTACAACAAAAAGAATCATGTCTGCATGTGTGTACCCGTGACCTGGTGTCTGTTGTTGGATGCTCCTGTTGTATCTATTGCAAGATAAGAATGTTTTACATACAAAAACAGTCAAGGTTAACATGGATCTGTCTGCTGTCATTTGTGGCATACCTTCATGAAGAGAGTCTAGAAGTTCAACTTTTAGACCTGTTTGTAGGTCTCCATGACAATGTGATTAAACCGTTTGCCTCACACTGTGAAGGTCAAGAGTTCAGTTTTCACAGCTGCGCCATTGGGTTCACAGGTGCATTTCTTTAAAGAAACCTGAATAGATTGTCACTGGAGTGACAGCGTTCATACGGAAAGAGATCAAGCCATATGGGATCAAACCCGGTCCAGCAGTATACTAGTTGTCATTGACATGTGGGAAGATTTTCACAAATGCTAGATGTTTTGAATGACATGTGGGAAGATCTTCAAAAATGTTGGAAGTTCTGAATGACATGTGGTAAAATCTTCACAAACCCTGAAAGTTCTGAGTGACATGTTGGAAATCTTCACAAACCCTTGTAGTTCTGAGTGACATGTGGGGAGATAATCACAAATGCGGGAAGTTTTCAGTGACATGTAGGAGAGGGGGGGGGGGAAGATGAAAACAATTGCTCAGAGGAGTCTAGAGGTTGTGAGTAAAACATGAATAATTCTCCTAAATGCTGCTTACCCAACTTTTCCCACTGACGTCCTCAAAAATCCATTGGTTCGCAAACAGAACCAATGGATTTTTGAGGACGTCAGTGGGAAAAGTTGGGTAAGCAGCATTTAGGAGAATTATTCATGTTTTACTCACAACCTCTAGACTCCTCTGAGCAATTGTTTAGGAGGCCTGGAAATGAATATATTTACTAAAAACAGCATTTATTGAGGAATTTCGTGTGTTGATGATACAAAGTCATTTTAATGTCATAATTTTCCTATAGCCTCAGTGATAGAGACCATGGGAATATGACACGAGTCCGCCGATAGATTGTTTAAGCCCTGGCAATGTGTTCCATCGAACGTTTCACTCCGTTATCATTTAATGATTGCTTCCTGTTTAAACGTTGGCAAATGTCCAATCCCAGAATCTTCTACCCATCTGGAATTCACCACAAAGGCTCTATCTGTTGCCATCCTTCATCCTGCCAGTGTGTCTGTAGGCACTCTTTCATCCGTCATCCTCCTGTAGGCACTCTTTCATCCTTCATCCTCCTGTAGGCACTCTTTCATCCTTCATCCTCCTGTAGGCACTCTTTCAATAGTCATCCTCCTGTAGGCACTCTTTCATCCTTCATCCTCCTGTAGGCACTCTTTCATCCGTTCATCCTCCTGTAGGCACTCTTTCATCCTTCATCCTCCTGTAGGCACTCTTTCATCCTTATTCCTCCAGTAGGCGCTCTTTCATCCTCCTGTAGGCACTCTTTCATCCTTCATCCTCCTGTAGGCACTCTTTCATCCTCCTGTAGGCACTCTTTCATCCTTCATCTTCCTGTAGGCACTCTTTCATCCTTCATCCTCCTGTAGGCGCTCTTTCATCCTTCATCCTCCCAGTGTGTCTGTAGGCACTCTTTCATCCTTCATCCTCCTGTAGGCACTCTTTCATCCTTCATCCTCCCAGTGTGTCTGTAGGCACTCTTTCATCCTTCATCCTCCAGTGTGTCTGTAGGCACTCTTTCATCCTTCATCCTCCTGTAGGCACTCTTTCATCCTTCATCCTCCTGTAGGCACTCTTTCATCCTTCATCCTCCTGTAGGCACTCTTTCATCCTTCATCCTCCTGTAGGCACTCTTTCATCCTCCTGTAGGCACTCTTTCATCCTCCTGTAGGCACTCTTTCATCCTTCATCCTCCTGTAGACACTCTTTCATCCTTCATCCTCCTGTAGGCGCTCTTTCATCCTCCTGTAGGCACTTTGCCATCCTTCATCCTCCTGTAGGCACTCTTTCATCCTCCCAGTGTGTCTGTAGGCACTCTTTCATCCTTCATCCTCCCAGTGTGTCTGTAGGCACTCTTTTATCCTTTATCCTCCTGTAGGCACTCTTTCATCCTTCATCCTCCCAGTGTGTCTGTAGGCACTCTTTCATCCTTCATCCTCCTGTAGGCACTCTTTCATCCTTCATCCTCCCAGTGTGTCTGTAGGCACTCTTTCATCCTTCATCCTCCCAGTGTGTCTGTAGGCACTCTTTCATCCTTCATCCTCCTGTAGGCACTCTTTCATCCTTCATCCTCCCAGTGTGTCTGTAGGCACTTTTTCATCCTTCACCCTCCCAGTGTGTCTGTAGGCACTCTTTCATCCTTCATCCTCCTGTAGGCACTCTTTCATCCTTCATCCTCCTGAGGGCACACAGCCATCCTTCATCCTCCCAGTGTGTCTGTAGGCACTCTTTCATCCTTTATTCTCCTGTAGGCACTCTTTCATCCTTTATTCTCCTGTAGGCACTCTTTCATCCTTCATCCTCCTGTAGGCACTCTTTCATCCTTCATCCTCCTGTAGGCACTCTTTCATCCTTCATTCTCCTGTAGGCACTCTTTCATCCTTCATCCTCCTGTAGGCACTCTTTCATCCTTCATTCTCCTGTAGGCACTCTTTTATCCTTCATCCTCCAAGTGTGTCTGTAGGCACTCTTTCATCCTTCATCCTCCTGTAGGCACTCTTTCATCCTTCATCCTCCTGTAGGCACTCTTTCATCCTTCATCCTCTCAGTGTGTCTGTAGGCACTCTTTCATCCTTCATCCTCTCAGTGTGTCTGTAGGTGCTCTGCCATCCTTTATCCTCCCGTGTGTCCTAGCTATTTGTGCTTTCAAAGAATGCACATTGAGAAAACAATTTAACTGCTATCTTGACTCCATTATTGATTACAAGCTGGGTGGCAGCATCAGAATTTCTTGTGGCTCTCATGTCTGTGTGGTGGGTGGCAGCATCAGAATTGCTTGTAGCTCTCATGTCTGTGTGGTGGGTGGCAGCATCAGAATTTCTTGTGGCTCTCAAGTCTGTTTGGTGGCAGCATCAGAATTGCTTGTGGCTCTCAAGTCTGTGTGGTGGGTGGCAGCATCAGAATTGCTTGTGGCTCTCAAGTCTGTGTGGTGGCAGCATCAGAATTGCTTGTGGCTCTCAAGTCTGTGTGGTGGGTGGCAGCATCAGAATTGTTTGTGGCTCTGATGTCTGTGTGGTGGCAGCATCAGAATTGCTTGTGGCTCTCAAGTCTGTGTGGTGGGTGGCAGCATCAGAATTGCTTGTGGCTCTCAATTCTGTGTGGTGGCAGCATCAGAATTGCTTGTGGCTCTCAAGTCTGTGTGCTGGGTGGCAGTATCAGAATTGCTTGTGGCTCTCATGTCTGTGTGGTGGCAGCATCAGAATTGCTTGTGGCTCTCAAGTCTGTGTGGAACAACCCAGTAATCATGAGTAGGGCCTGCAAACAGCCAGTCTTCTGGAGCATCTGATTTAGGTCCCAGAAATAGTTGGCTAGGCTGGCCAGTTAACTTTCTTTCCTTCACAGACAGGACATTGCAAACATTCTGTGGGACCCACATTGTGAGACTGGCCAAACCTGAGATCAGCACTTGTCACTGTTGGAGAATTAAACCTAGACCACCGCAGTGGGAAAGTAAGCCAGCGCATTAATCCATGATGTCATATTGGTCTATATTGTGACAGTTGCGTGTCTGTTGTGACAGTTGCGTGTCTGTTGTGACAGTTGCGTGTCTGTTGTATCCCCAGACTGCCACCAGTGCTGAGATAGAGAAGATGAGCTTCAAGGAGAAGCAGAAGTATTTTGAGTTGGTCAAGGATGCAGCATCATCACATTCTCAAGGTGAGGCTAGACTTTCACAGTAAATGCTTCCACTGATAGTCTTCTGTAGGACTCAGGCATTAACTACATTAGGGGTCTTCTGTCTGGGGCATTAACTACATTAGGGGTCTTCTGTCTGAGGCATTAACTACATTAGGGATCTTCTGTCTGGGACATTAACTACATTAGGGGTCTCATGACTGAGGCATTAACTACATTAGGGGTCCCATGACTGAGGCATTAACTACATTAGGGGTCCCATGACTGAGGCATTAACTACATTAGGGGTCCCATGACTGAGGCATTAACTACATTAGGGGTCTCAGGACTGAGGCATTAACTACATTAGGGATCTTCTGTCTGGGGAATTAACTACATTAGGGGTCTTCTGTCTGGGGCATTAACTACATTAGGGGTCTCATGACTGAGGCATTAACTACATTAGGGGTCTTCTGTCTGGGGCATTAACTACATTAGGGGTCTTTTGTGTGTTGTCCTGTTCTACAGTTTGTGGCCACAACCTGCCCTCTATGATTGTTTTCTAAAGCCTGACATTGTGTGGCACAGTGGTCCCAGCGAAAATGACCCAGAAGCTCTGGTTCCCAGCTGGGGCTTCTGGACTGTTCCTGTCTTTCTCCAAGAGATAACACACGGACTTCCTGGAGCTCTGTGTGTGTTTGTCCCTGTTGACCTACCTAGACTGATTCTTGGGGTGTGTGTATGTGAGAGATAAACATTGTGGAGTGTTGTTGGTTGTCCCCGATAGAACTGTTTTTTCTTGTGTGGTGTAAGATGACTTCTGGAGTCCCTTTGGTGGTGTTGTCCTGGCACTAACCAGAACTGATTCTTTTGTGCTGTGTGGTCAAGCTTCCTGATGTCTTGTGTGTTGTCTGTGACTTTCCAAACTGATTCTTGTGTGGTGTGGTGACCATTGGGAACAAGCTTCCTGGAGTCCTTGTGTGAAAGTCCTGTCTTCCAGGACTGAGGCTGTGTGTAACTACATGTGAGGGACTACAGGACTGATCTTACTGGATTAGGCTTCTTGGAGTCTTGTGGGTTGTTCTGTGACTACCAGGACCTGATCATTGTGTGTGTGTGCCAGAGTTTTAGAACTACATTCAGGGAGTCTTGTGTCTGGGTCCCCTGGTAACTTCAGGACTTATGGGTCTTCTGTCTGGGTGAGGAGATTACCTACAAGCTTAGGGGTCCTGTGTGTTGTCCTGAGGCTACTAGGACTGATTCTTGTGTGTGTGTGTGTGTGATAGATGGAACACAGCTTCCTGGAGTCTTGTGTGTTGTCCCTGTTTCACTACTTAGGACTGATTCCTTGTGTGTGTCGTGAGACATGGAACAAACTTCCTTGGGTCTTGTGTGTTGTCCTGTCACTACAATAGACTGATTCTTGTGTTCTTGTGTGTGAGAGATGAAAACACAGCTTCCTGGAGTCTTGGTGTGTTGTCCTGTGGACTACCAGGACCTGATTCTCGTGTGTGTGTGTGAGAGTTAGAACAATCTTCCTGAGGAGTCTTGTGTGTGGTCCTGTCACTTCCAGGAATGATTCTTGTGTGTTCTGTGAGAGATAGAACAAGCTTTCTGGAGTCTTGTGTGTTGTCCTGTCACTACCAGGACTGATTCTTGTGTGTGTGTGAGAGAGACATGGAACAAGCTTCCTGGAGTCTTGTGTGTTGTCCTGTGACTACCAGGACTGATTCTTGTGTGTGTGTGAGAGAGACATGGAACAAGCTTCCTGGAGTCTTGTGTGTTGTCCTGTCACTACTAGGACTGATTCTTGTGTGTGTGTGAGACATGGAACAAGCTTCCTGGAGTCTTGTGTGTTGTCCTGTCACTACCAGGACTGATTCTTGTGTGTGTGTGAGAGATGAACAAGCTTCCTGGAGTCTTGTGTGTTGTCCTGTGACTACCAGGACTGATTCTCGCGTGTGTGTGTGAGAGTTAGAACAATCTTCCTGGAGTCTTGTGTGTTGTCCTGTCACTTCCAGGAATGATTCTTGTGTGTCTGTGAGAGATAGAACAAGCTTTCTGGAGTCTTGTGTGTTGTCCTGTCACTACCAGGACTGATTCTTGTGTGTGTGTGAGAGAGACATGGAACAAGCTTCCTGGAGTCTTGTGTGTTGTCCTGTGACTACCAGGACTGATTCTTGTGTGTGTGTGAGAGAGACATGGAACAAGCTTCCTGGAGTCTTGTGTGTTGTCCTGTGACTACCAGGACTGATTCTTGTGTGTGTGTGTGTGAGAGATAGAACAATCTTTCTGGAGTCTTGTGTGTTGTCCTGTGACTACCAGGACTGATTCTTGTGTGTGTGTGTGAGAGATGGAACAAGCTTCCTGGAGTCTTGTGTGTTGTCCTGTCACTACCAGGACTGATTCTTGTGTGTGTGTGATGGAACAAGCTTCCTGGAGTCTTGTGTGTTGTCCTGTCACTACCAGGACTGATTCTTGTGTGTGTGTGTGTGTGTGAGAGATGGAACAAGCTTCCTGGAGTCTTGTGTGTTGTCCTGTGACTTCCAGGACTGATTCTTGTGTGTGTATGTGAGATGGAACAAGCTTCCTGGAGTCGTGTGTTGTCCTGTGACTACCAGGACTGATTCTTGTGTGTGTATGTGAGATGGAACAAGCTTCCTGGAGTCGTGTGTTGTCCTGTGACTTCCAGGACTGATTCTTGTGTGTGTGTGTGAGAGAGATAGAACAAGCTTTCTGGAGTCTTGTGTGTTGTCCTGTCACTTCCAGGACTGATTCTTGTGTGTGTGAGAAATAGAACAATCTTCCTGGAGTCTTGTGTGTTGTCCTGTGACTACCAGGAAGGATTCTTGTGTGTGTGAGAGATGGAACAAGCTTCCTGGAGTCTTGTGTGTTGTCCTGTGACTTCCAGGACTGATTCTTGTGTGTGTATGTAAGAGATGGAACAATCTTCCTGGAGTCTTGTGTGTTGTCCTGTGACTACCAGGACGGATTCTTGTGTGTGTATGTGAGAGATGAAACAATCTTCCTGGAGTCTTGTGTGTTGTCCTGTGACTTCCAGGACGGATTCTTGTGTGTGTGTGTGTGAGACATGGAACAGACTACACATGATTAATCCTGACTTGTTTCTAGTGTCTACAACGGGATTCTGTACACTTGACGAAACGTTACATTGTTTTGTAAAGACATTCTATGCTCCGCTGAATGGAAAGTTTGTCAAATGGAATATTCTCTACTTCACTGATACTGTGTTGTTTATTACCAGCCAAACACTTCAGCTACTTGTCAGAGCATGAACTGGCAACCATGAGGCAGGAAGAAGGTATCTTCCACCCCCCTTCTTGATGTTGTCTGTGTGAGATTTTTTAGCTACACACGACACACAGGGACATTATCTAACACTTGATGTTATTCATTCCTTCATTCCTGTGGTGTGTGTGGGGAGGGAGGGAAAAAGAGAGAAAAATGTAGGGGTGAGAGGAGTGTGTAATGTAGTAGCTACACTGGCACGCTAGGTCAATACACCCCTCACTTGATGTTATTTCTTCACTTCCTGTGGGGGATGTGAGAGAGGAGTATGGGGGCAATGAGAAAGGAGTGCCAGTGATGTAGTAGCCACACTGAAACACAGGACTATACCCCTCACTTGATGTTATTCCTTCACTTCCTGTGGGGGTGGGGGATGTGAGAGAGAGGAGTATGGGGGCTGAAAAGGAGTGCCAGTGATGTAGCAGCTACACTGAAAACACAGGACAATACCCCTCACTTTGATGTTATTCTTCACTTCCTGTGGGGGTGGGGGATGTGAGAGAGGAGTATGGGGGCAATGAGAAAGGAGTGCCAGTGATGTAGTAGCCACACTGAAACACAGGACTATACCCCTCACTTGATGTTATTCCTTCACTTCCTGTGGGGGTGGGGGATGTGAGAGAGGAGTATGGGGGCAATGAGAAAGGAGTGCCAGTGATGTAGCAGCTACACTGAAACACAGGACAATACCCCTCACTTGATGTTATTCCTTCACCTCCATGTGCATTGAAAAGTTGTGTGTCTGTGTGAGGCTTCTGTCAGTAATTAAACACAACACAATGATTTGAACACTCAGCACATGCCATGAAGAAGTTGCACACACATACAGGTGAAAATTGTCAACAAGAGTCTCTATCAACAGACTAATTAAACAACAGACTTGGTGAATGTGCCACAAAAACAGTAAAGCAGGAGAAAACTTGACTGGAAGAACTTTTCTAAAAGTGAAGCATGTAAACAGGAACGGGAAAAGCGGGGTAGCACATTTTTTTTTTTTTTCAAATGAATAAAAGTATGCTAAAATATATCTCAGCAAAATTGAGAACTTTTGAATTGGGTGAACTTCCAAGAAGAGCTGACTGATTTGATCTCCAGAGTAAGATTTTATGGCAGTAGTAGAGTTGTCAGTCTTGGTTAAGAAATCTGTTACAATTTAAGGAGGCTGGTTGTTGACCAGGTTGGTTGGTTAATTGACCTGTTATTTTGTCTGGATGAAGACTGGTTGAAATGTTGGGTGGCAGAGTAGTTGTGTTTATTATTGTTTCTATCCATAATCTAGTTACATTGTCTGTTATGTTTAGTTCTTGTTACCATCCCGACTGCAACCACACTTATTGACATCATCACTTTTGGAAGCTTTTGTATTGTGCCTCTAGAATGGGCCTGCAGAGAGAGTGATGACTTCAGCAGACCAGCTGTACTTGAATCCATTAGTTGTTGTAGTTGTGTCCCTGTCTGTGGTCAGTCATGTATTGAGACACTACTATCATAGGGCCATATTAACATGTTTGTGATATAAGTATATCTGGAACCTAGGAAACCCTAGGTGATGTCACTTGAAGTCCACCAAACCACCCCCACCCCCACCCCCCCCCCCCCCCCCACCACCACCACCCCTTTTTTCATATTATATATATTATATCTGCATTTTTGTTTTGTTTTCTAATTTGTCATTCTTTCATTCGTTTTTTATCATGTTATGCCATATCTTACATAAGGCTCACAGCCTGTTTCTCTTTTCCCTATTTCTGTCGTGTGCAGTCAGTTGGATATCACGGATGGTATCCAGTCTAGCACCTGTGGCTTCTCCTCAAGGTTCACCTCCTGGATGTCCTTGTTTCCTCAGGAGATCTGTTTCTCTTCCCAGAATATATCCAGTATAGCTCCCATCTTCTCAGAATATATCCATTATAGCTCCATCTTCCCAGAATATATCCAGTATAGCTCCATCTTCTCAGAATATGTCCAGTATAGCTCCATCCCAGAATATATCCAGTATAGCTCCATCCCAGAATATGTCCAGTATAGCTCCATCCCAGAATATATCCAGTATAGCTCCATCCCAGAATATGTCCAGTATAGCTCCATCTTCTCAGAATATATCCATTATAGCTCCATCTTCTCAGTTTTATATATATATATATGAGCTTATATCTGCATTTTTGTTTTTTAATTTGTCATTCTTTCATTCGTTTTTTATCATGTTATGCCATATCTTACATAAGGCTCAGAGCCTTATATATATATATAATCAGTCCAGAAACTTGACTTGTAAACGCTTTGGCCTGATAGGTACTGTGGATATCACAACCCTTCGGCCTTGATTCCATGATAGATACCGTAAATCTGGGTCTGTCTGATGACTGTTGATACCAGCAATTGCTCAGACATTTATTTCTTTCTGAACTGCTCTTAAATTCACTCCATTTTATGTTCATCTTATCCCTCAGGCATTTGTTTTCAAGTGTGTTGTAATTTTGTTCCTTATTTTGTTGAAGTTTTAAAATGCTGCAGACCCCTTGCCAGTGCCTGTCAATTTCTATCTTTGAGTTTCCTTCACTTTCAAAAGTACAAATTAAATTAATCTGTCGCTTTAAGTTTTTTTTTTTTTTTTTTTTTTTGGGGTCTCTAGTGTGACCTCTGCATAATCTGTAATTGATGTCTTCAATATATTTGTTTTTCATTCATAACTTATTTTGAGTCCAGCTTTTAATGCAACATTTTCTAAATTGTGTGTATTTCTGTGCATGTCACTGTTGTGTTTACTGTTCAAAACAATATGATCAGCACATATAAGATCTTCTAGCTGTGTATTCAAGATCTTCTAGCTGTGTATTCAAGATCTTCTAGCTGTGTATTCAAGATCTTCTAGCTGTGTATTCAATATCTTCTAGCTGTGTATTCAATATCTTCTAGCTGTGTATTCAAGATCTTCTAGCTGTGTATTCAATATCTTCTAGCTGTGTATTCAAGATCTTCTAGCTGTGTATTCAATATCTTCTAGCTGTGTATTCAATATCTTCTAGCTGTGTATTCAATATCTTCTAGCTGTGTATTCATTCAAGATCTTCTAGCTGTGTATTCAATATCTTCTAGCTGTGTATTCAAGATTTCTAGCTGTGTATTCAATATCTTCTAGCTGTGTATTCAAGATCTTCTAGCTGTGTATTCAATATCTTCTAGCTGTGTATTCAATATCTTCTAGCTGTGTATTCAAGATCTTCTAGCTGTGTATTCAATATCTTCTAGCTGTGTATTCAAGATCTTCTAGCTGTGTATTCAAGATCTTCTAGCTGTGTATTCAAGATCTTCTAGCTGTGTATTCAAGATCTTCTAGCTGTGTATTCAATATCTTCTAGCTGTGTATTCAAGATCTTCTAGCTGTGTATTCAATATCTTCTAGCTGTGTATTCAATATCTTCTAGCTGTGTATTCAAGATCTTCTAGCTGTGTATTCAATATCTTCTAGCTGTGTATTCAAGATCTTCTAGCTGTGTATTCAATATCTTCTAGCTGTGTATTCAAGATCTTCTAGCTGTGTATTCAATATCTTCTAGCTGTGTATTCAATATCTTCTAGCTGTGTATTCAAGATCTTCTAGCTGTGTATTCAATATCTTCTAGCTGTGTATTCAAGATCTTCTAGCTGTGTATTCAAGATCTTCTAGCTGTGTATTCAAGATCTTCTAGCTGTGTATTCAAGATCTTCTAGCTGTGTATTCAAGATCTTCTAGCTGTGTATTCAAGATCTTCTAGCTGTGTATTCAAGATCTTCTAGCTGTGTATTCAAGATCTTCTAGCTGTGTATTCAAGATCTTCTAGCTGTGTATTCAAGATCTTCTAGCTGTGTATTCAAGATCTTCTAGCTGTGTATTCAAGATCTTCTAGCTGTGTATTCAAGATCTTCTAGCTGTGTATTCAAGATCTTCTAGCTGTGTATTCAAGATCTTCTAGCTGTGTATTCAAGATCTTCTAGCTGTGTATTCAAGATCTTCTAGCTGTGTATTCAAGATCTTCTAGCTGTGTATTCAAGATCTTCTAGCTGTGTATTCAAGATCTTCTAGCTGTGTATTCAAGATCTTCTAGCTGTGTATTCAAGATCTTCTAGCTGTGTATTCGCCAGCCATTTGACATTAAGCTCATAATACAAATTATCATGATTATTGCATATTAGAAGCAAAACTGTATTTAACACAGACCTTACTAAACAAATGACACATCATTGTGTCGGTCGGCAGGCAGAGACAGTTTTCTGTCAGGTGAAAAACACAGACCTAACTAAACAAATGAGACATCAGTGTGTCGGACGACAGGCAGAGACAGTTTTGTATCCGGAGAACAACACAGACCTAACTGAACAAATGAGACATCAGTGTGTCGGACGGCAGGCAGAGACAGTTTTCTGTCAGGCGGTCAGCGGAAAGAAGCACAGGTGTGATATTGGCCTGTCTGTCTGCTAGCCAGCTGGTTGTAGGGTGAACACATATTTTATTTTAAAAATACATGCCAGGAAATGTTCTGAGAAGTAAACGCAGCTAGCGACTGCCACATCATGCAGCTTGGCCTATACAGTTATAGTTTGAGCACCTTATCCCTAGTACAGGGATACCTCGGCTAATGAAAATGATTCCTGCCAGAAAGCACATTTGTTAGCCCAAATCTTGACTGGTCCGAATGTCAGTGGCGCAAAAATGTAACTCTTTGACTGATGGCATTATGTGAACATGCAAATGCTTTAAAACATTTGTTAACTGAATCCAAATTTGTTAGTCAAAAGCAAAAAAGAACAATAGAAAAAATATCTTAATGTATAGAAGAATTTGTTAAATAGGTAAACTGGTTAGCCAAGGTATCACTGTCTACTGTTATAGTTAGTCGTTTGTCTGATGTTAAAGTTTGCCATGTCTCTGTTGTAACAATGACTAACGTGTTTGTTTTTCTCTTCTTCTCCCTTTGAATTCTGCTTCAACTCTTCACGTCGTCTGCCATGTTTAAACACTGCTTGCATTACTAACTCCGACCTGGATTAACAACCGTGTCTGCGTTACCCCTCCACTGCTGCCATCGGTGACAACACAATCCACATGATCCACCCTTTACATCAATCACATACTAACATTGCCTGCATGACCAACTCCGCCTTGGACTAATTGCTTCCACCAACCACCTTGTGAATGAACCATATCTGCCATCAATTATGTATGACTGATGCTGTGTCTGCCACCTGAATCCATCATCCTGGGATGTTCCCTCAATCTCTCCGACTCGGACACCTCTCATGTTTTCTCAAATAACTAACGTGTGAATGACTGTCACCCGATGGGACAATGTGACATCAACAATGGACACCTGGCCTGGCTTTGGGCTACCTGCGTGGGTGCCATCTTGTGACCTGCAGCCAAGAAAGTAGGTGGGATGACTCAGGCAGAAATCTTGTCTTATGTTGCAGGAAGTGCTGCCGATGTCACCCCAGACCACGACCTGGAGCAGGTGCTTTCCAGGTGAGTCTGCTTTCTGTTATACCTGTCTGTTTTTGTTGTACGTCTGTATCTGTTAGGGTTGTTTCAATGTCTATGTTTTTATCGTATATATGTCTGTTTTTTTTTCTTATTATATACATGTCTTATTTTGTTCTGCTATGTTGTAGACATGTGTGTGAGTTATATAACTATTTGTTTATAATAACTTTTTATGTGTTTGTTGTGTAACATCCTGCTGCTGTACCAGAAAACATGAAGTTGTACCAGACATCTTGTAGTTGTACCAGACATCAGGTAGTTGTACCAGACATCTTGTAGTTGTACTAGACATCAGGTAGTTGTACCAAACATCTTGTAGTTGTACTAGACATTAGGCAGTTTTACTATTCATCTTGTAATTGTACAAGACATCAGGTAGTTGTACCAGACATCTTGTAGTTGTACCAGAAATCTACAGCTGTACCAGACATCTAGTAGTTGTACCAGCCATCTTGCTGTTGTACCAGGTACATTTGATGTGTACTGTTAACCACTTGTCCGTGACCTGACTCAGCAGTTATTGACAGTCGACACCTGAACTGCCATTGTGTTTCTTCTCCCTGTCCTCCTGTGGCATGCAGCTTTGACAGCCGGAGGTAACCTGTCTCAGTTGTCTGTGTGTGGGCATAGCTTCGACTGCCAGTGTCCAACAGCTCATGGCTCTACACTGGCTTCTCTGACTTTTGTTGGCCTCACACTCACACACACAGATCTATGTTGTTGCCCACACACACACACATATGTATTTATTATTGTTTTCCCCCACACATTCTCTTCACAAACACATGAATGTTGTCCCCACATTTTTGTAACTGACAGAAGAATTTTCTACCCCCTCCCCCCATTCTTATTTCATATATACAGAAGACTTGTTACACATTGTTGTTTGTTTGCATGAAGCGCACAGTGTTTTCATTGTCTTTATGTCACAGATAGGAGTCATTACACAAGCTCACTGGCTGTTCTCTAACCCCCCCCCCTCCCCTCCTCCCCCCCCCCCCCCTACCTTTTCTCTCTGTGTCTGTCTCTATCACCTGTACAAACATCACTGGCTGTTGCACATTTTTGTGCTGGTGCACACACAGACACAGAGATGTTTTCTCTTCAAACATGTTTACATGGCAACATTGATGGTGAGAAGTTAGCCACACCCCCACCACACAGTAGAGGTGTAGCCAAGTTTTGGTGCTAGCAACAGATGGTCACCAATCATCAGGTAAAAGAGAGAAATCAGACAGACAATATAGGAGAAATCAGACACAGACAATGTAGGAGAAATCGGATGCAGACAATGTCAAGAGACATCAGATACAAGTCACTGTCAGGAGAAATCGGACACAGACAGTGGAAGGAAAGGTGCCTACACCTGTGAGCCATCACTGCCTACACCTGTTAGCCATCAGTGCCTACACCTGTGAGCCATCACTGCCTACACCTGTGAGCCATCACTGCCTACACCTGTGAGCAGGAAGCTGGTTATAGTAATGAATGTATGTTTGGTAAAGGAAGAATATGAATGGATATGTTGTGTATTCACCATCCAATCAGAATATCTGCACCTTCAAAGGGTTGCTGACACATGTTGCGTTGTGTTGTGGTACAGGTAGGCTGAGATATCTGCTCCTGTTGACCTAACACCTGTGGCTTTAGCAAACCCTCAATGATTCACCTTATGTGATTGAGCAAACCCTCAATGATTCACCTTATGTGATTGTTAAAGATTAGTGAGATGAGTTTCTCCCTTTGCAAAGTGGGATCCCTGAACCCAGACAGGGATACAGTCAGAATAGGATAGGATATGTGACCCTCGATTTATTGCACTTGTCGACTGGCTGGTCTGTAATGGCTGTTGATTGCTGACTTTTCATTGCGCTTTTACCACTGTTTGTGCCACTGTGTCCCTGAGCTAATCTGGTGTTCACATCTGTACCCAGCTGTGCCACCTAAAGTGCATGCTGTTGTTTGATGTTGTCACTAATATGTACCCAGCTGTGCCACCTAAAGTGCATGCTGTTGTTTGATGTTGTCACTTATTTGTACCCAGCTGTGCCACCTAAAGTGCATGCTATTTGATGTTGTCACTTATTTGTACCCAGCTGTGCCACCTAAAGTGCATGCTGTTGTTTGATGTTGTCAGTAACCTGGAGCTGCACATACTGTTGTTCTATCAGTAAAGTCACTAGAACACATATTTGACAAATAGGGTATATGCAGGTAGGCATGTATTTTGATTAGGGCTGTACCGAATAGTGATTTTCACTATTCGGCCGAATACGAATAGCTAGACCAACTATTCGGCCGAATACGAATAGTGAATCATCATCAGGTGCCTTGCCGACTGGGATGGGCGATTATGCCTTGCCATAATTTACGATCTCCTGCAGCATGTATTAGTTCGTGTGCTGACACCCCTCCATGCCATGCAACTCGACTGTCAAGAATCTTCTCTCGTGTCTTCCTCTATCTCTCCTTTCACATATCTTTCCAATGGTCACCACATGTTCCATTTTTCATCATCTTATAACATGGCCGAAAAATGATGACTTGTCTCCTTCTGATGTCTGTGAGTAGTTGTCTTCAGGCTCTCGCCTCTTTCAAAACATCTTGGTTGCTTTTTTGTTGTTGCCTGTCCAAGGTATTTTAAACATTGTTCTGTAAAACCACATCTCCGAGGCCTCCAGAAATTGTTTGGCCTGCCTACCGATTGTCCAGGACTTACAGCCATATGTTAAAACTGGATGTATGCAGCAAGCAAGAATTCTTTTTTCTAACTCTCAATGACAAGGATATATTGCATAAGATATTCTTCATTTTATAACATTTTTGCCTGTCCTATTCTGTTTCTTATTTCAGTAATGCAATTCCATCTGATGTTATCCATGTGCCCAGATACTTAAATTTCTGTACTTGCCCCAAAATTAAACTTTTATTACACATTTAGGAATAATTTTCTTTGTTACCACCATTACTTCTGTCTTCCCGCTATTCAAACTGAGGCCCAGCCCATTTTTCCACTTTCGTGTATAAAAAAGATCTAAAAAAAAAAAAAAACATCCATAATGTCAAATGTACGCCCAAAAAAAATTTAACTTTGTTCACAAAATATAGTTTGTTCACAAAATATAGTACAGAATAGTAAACATTTAAAAACATTTCATGTTTTGCATTCTTCAGTCAGTCAGTCAGTCTGTGGTAACTAATACCTAGGAATGAAAGTATTCTAAGTTTTATAACTAAACTTGTAAATTGTCACTGACAGCTTAGTTAATCCTTGAAAGCGGCATTAGCTTTCAAAAATAAAAAACAATCATTCCATGTTGTCAGCATTAAGGCAGCTTCTTGTCTCAATGAAGGTATTTCCAGCTGCACTAAACAGACATTGACTTGGTACGCTCGTAGGCGGTGCACAAAGATAACGCTTGACAGTATGAACCAAGATGGGAAAATCTTGAAATGTTTATTTTCCACCAGTCGAGAAACTGGTTTAAGGTAACCACTATTAGTATTTGGCCCGACCGCAACTATTCGGCCGAATAGTTATTAGGTCCACTATTCGGCTACGAAGCGAATATTCGGTACAGACCTAATTTTGATTGACCAGTCAGCTCTGGATGAGTAATGTGGTCAGCATTACACCGACTGCCTTTATTTCCCAGCATGTATCCTGGTACCCGTGTCAGGCTGGGTTGACCTGAAAGCCAAGGTCGTCAGGTTATATAAACCACATCTGAGTTTGATCCTAGAAAGAAGCTTCTGTGATACCTAGCTACTTTGCAGCCATTGTCACAAATCTGTAGTCACCTGCCTCACCTGGTGCATGCTATTGTTTGATGTTGTACTTACTGATCCCTGCCGCATGGCTTCACCTGACTTTTCTCATACACTCATCAAGTGGTGCCGCAGGTAGAACTGGTTTCCGCACATCTCCCCATGCCAGCCGTGAAGGTTCACAGCCACGCACGGAGGATGTCATGAGTGCCCGTGAACGAGAGGCTGAGAAACGAGCTTCATGGAGGAGGGCCAGGTGTGAGAAGTTTTCCTCACAGGGCTGTTTGCTAGAGCTCTGGCCTTGGGTCATATAGCTGGGTGGCTTCTGTATCTGTGCTGTACAGGGAAAGATGTAGTTGTGGCTGACTTGAGTGGCTTGTATATTTATGCTGTATAACTGGATGCTTTTATATCTATGCTAATATGCTGGGTGGCTTTTGTAACTTTAGGTGGCTTTATGCATGCCTGCATGATGTAGGTGGCTTTATGCATGCCTACATGATGTGGGTGCTACTTTACCCTACATGATGTAGGTGCTACTTTACCCTACATGATGTGGGTGCTACTTAACCCTGCATGGTGTGGGCGCTACTTTACTCGAACTGTCCAGGTACAAGGATTAAATTAACAAAAGTGAGAAGGGTTAGTTTTACAACATCACCATTGCCATAACGGATGTTCTGGCTAGAAAGTTTTCATCAGGAATCAAAGAGGAAGACGCTAATACGATTAAATTCAAAAACAGTGTAGCTCCTTTGGCCGCTGTCTTCTTCCTGAGAACAGAGAAATGTTTGCTGGCTGGTAGGGTTAGCTGACCTCAGGTTCCCAGGTCTGGGGAATGTCAGGTAGGGTTAGCTGACCTCAGGTTTCCCAGGTCTGGGAATGTCAGGTAGGGTTAGCTGACCTCAGGTTCCCTAGGTCTGGGAATGTCAGGTAGGGTTAGCTGACCTCAGGTTCCCTAGATCTAGGAATGTCAGGTAGGGTTAGCTGACCTCAGGTTCCCCAGGTCTGGGAATGTCAGGTAGGGTATGCTGACCTCAGGTTCCCTAGGTCTGGGAATGTCAGGTAGGGTTAGCTGACCTCAGGTTCCCTAGGTCTGGGAATGTCAGGTAGGGTTAGCTGTCCTCAGGTTCCCCAGGTCTGGGAATGTCAGTTAGGGTTAGCTGACCTCAGGTTCCCCAGGTCTCGGAATGTTAGGTAGGGTTAGCTGACCTCAGGTTCCCTAGATCTGGGAATGTCAGGTAGGGCTAGCTGACCTCAGGTTCCCTAGATCTAGGAATGTCAGGTAGGGCTAGCTGACCTCAGGTCTGGGAATGTCAGGTAGGGTTAGCTGACCTCAGGTTTGGGAATGTCAGGTAGGGTTAGCTGACCTCAGGTCTGGGAATGTCAGGTAGGGTTAGCTGTCCTCAGGTTCCCTAGATCTAGGAATGTCAGGTAGGGTTAGCTGACCTCAGGTCTGGGAATGTCAGGTAGGGTTAGCTGTCCTCAGGTTCCCTAGATCTAGGAATGTCAGGTAGGGCTAGCTGACCTAAGGTTCCCCAGGTCAGGGAATGATGGAATAGGAAATAAGGGGAAGGAGAAGATAGGCCAGTTGCCATAAAAATGGCCAAATGGGAAAGCCATAAGGACATTGAAACAAAAATATAAGGAGAGAGAGGATGGGAAAGCCATAAGGACACTGAAACAAAAATATAAGGAGAAAGAGAGAAGATGGGAAAGGGCAGACAGAGGGGAAACAAAGGAATAAAAAGCGGAAGGATCCGGAAAAAACATTGAAATGAAGTTGTGTCTGGAATATATCAAATACAATTAATACAATAAAACCTCTTTGACACAAACTCACTTAAAAAGAACAGTCGGCTAACAGCAACTTACCATTTGTCCCAGCAGGAATGTATTAGTTTACTTCGTCCCCAGTTAGCATACATTTTTTTTTTACACTAATGAAGCTGTGTCCAGAATATACATTTTAAAAATATTGTGAGTTTTCTGAAGGTTTCTAACTAAGCTGAATATCAGAAATCTGATGTACCTGGTCAGTTAGAATTCAGCTTCTAGGACATGCTTGAGTGTTTTGCAGCTGCTGTGTTAGTTGAGCTGACTAAGCCAGCATGATATAACTGAGGTTTTGGTCTCACAGACGACTGTTGGTTGTGCGACAGGAAACAGGTGAACCATGGGATAGTCTTGGACAATGATCTTAGTCCATTTGGAATAGTTCAGGGTTGTAAAAAGGGAAAGAACAAGCAAATTGGCTTGCTGGCAGGGACATGGTAGGCACAGGAAAAGTAATGGCTGTCAGGGACAGGGTAGGCACAGGAAAAGTAATGGCTGGCAGGGACATGGTAGGCACAGGAAAAGTAATGGCTGTCAGGGACAGGGTAGGCACAGGAAAAGTAATGGCTGGCAGGGACATGGTAGGCACAGGAAAAGTAATGGCTGTCAGGGACAGGGTAGGCACAGGAAAAGTAATGGCTGTCAGGGACAGGGTAGGCACAGGAAAAGTAATGGCTGGCAGGGACATGGTAGGCACAGGAAAAGTAATAGCTGGCAGGGACAGGGTAGGCACAGGAAAAGTAATAGCTGGCAGGGACATGGTAGGCACAGGAAAAGTAATAGCTGGCAGGGACAGGGTAGGCACAGGAAAAGTAATAGCTGGCAGGGACATGGTAGGCACAGGAAAAGTAATGGACCAGGCCGATGCTGTCAGTGCTCCCAATGAGGCAGGACCAATAGATGATTGAGGAGACAGCAGTGAATCGGCAACCTTGACAAGACTATCAGAACTTCAGGTCAAAAGAGGGGTTGCCACTCATGAAGACTATACAAATATCAAAGAAGAATAGTAAACCAACCCAGAACTGGTGTTATCAGTCACCTCACGCTGAGAGAGATACTGAAGATGGGATCCGAGCACTTATGGACTTGTCTGGTATCTGTTCAGGGTGGTCACTTGTTGAACCGACTTGACTAAACTGGGTTGAACAGTTGAGAGAAGGATTGTTGTCAGGACAGCCCTGACATGATGCAACCTGGACAGATCAGACAGTACTATCTTACACAGACTGTTCACTGCTAGATTTCATTCTGTATTTAGGACCCAGTGTTTCTTATGCTTGTTTGCATGTTTGAAGCACTAATATTGAATATTGCCGTGATAACCTGTATGTTGGGGGGGGGGGGGGGGTTTCAAGACATGGCGTCTGCCTCGAGTGCTGGAGGTCCCAGTAAAGACTGGGATTTTCTCACGTGGACTTCTAGTAATTTACTCTGGGTAGTGAGATCGGATGCCTGTGTGTACTGTTGTGCATGTAAAAACTCTCTTGGCAGTTGGAAATTGAAAAGAGTATCCTAACGACGCTGCCCGGGCAAAATTTTGAGTTAATAATCTACCCAAAGTAGTTCAGGATCCTCGCCGGTGCTACAGTGTTTGTGCACTGTGCTGAGATTCTTCGGACTCAGGCTTAGAAGTAGAACGGAGAACTTATGGGTTACTACCCTTGTGCCATGATGTTGATTCATTGCTCAAACCTTTACACCTACATGCATATCTGTACTTAGTGTATGTGTGTGTTGTGTTGTGTGCACCAGCTTTATGGCTTTGTGTCATCTTCCTTTCTGTTATAATAACAGTATTCTCTGCACCTAGCCAGAGTTGTGCCACTAACCTCTGCTTGCTTGTGGCTTAACATCTTGGTCATGGTAGAGACAGAACACTGCAGCATTATCTTGTTGAGATGGTAGTTGAGTAGTACTAGTAGATTTTTTACCCCACACAAGTGATAAACACCCTGTGACACAAAGTGCCACCATGTAGATGAGGATTACCCGTTGAGAGGTCCCAGAAACCGCTTTCAGCCATTAGACCATAACCATGGCCGGGCTATATTGCGGCCCCTGCAAGAGCCAGAGTGGGGCTTCAAAATAATAAAAATAATGCATCTCACAAGGAGAGGAATAAATGTACAGTACTAGCATTGTTGAGAACATAATTATTAAGGAGGCAGTAGCCAACATTGTTGGTTGAGACAGTCGCCATCATTGTTAAGACAATAATTATTGTTGAGGCAGTCCCATAATAGTTGAGACAGCAACCAGCATTTTGAAGACAGTATGCTTCTGTTCTCTGCTCCTGGAATGCCCTGATGCTGCCAGCTATTCCAGCAGATGAAAAAAGGAGGAAGAAGAAAGACACTAGCAGACATGACCCAGTTGCAGGCAGATTCTAGCTTGCTGGTGTTAAAAAAAAGCCAACAAATATCACACACACACATGAAGCTGTCCCAGATGTCCTTTGTATGACCCACATCTAGGTATTTGTGAGATTATGATACCATAGAACAAAACTTTGCCTCATCCACAGAATGAAGAGTCTAGAGGCGGATGCTGTGCAAGCACAGGCTGTGATAGCCAGGGCTCAAGAGATGTCCAGGGACACATCTTCAGGTGTACGTGCAGTGGACATTGTCTTTGCTGGTAGGTCATCTCTGTTGGTGGCTGGTAGATCATTTCTTCATTGGCTTGACAGCATTTCTTTGATGATAATGATGTTGTTTTTTCTTTGTTTTCAAGCCTGTTAAATTTAGTGGTCCAGTCACATACCTTGTGTGTGTCATGTATCACCTCACTGGTCAGTTTCCTTGTGTGTGTCATGTATCACCTCACTGGTCAGTTACCTTGTGTGTGTCATGTATTACCTCACTGGTCAGTTACCTTGGGTGTGTCATGTATTACCTCACTGGTCAGTTACCTTGTCTGTGTCACGTATCACCTCACTGGTCAGTTACCTTGTCTGTGTCATGTATTACATCACTGGTCAGTTACCTTGTCTGTGTCATGTATTACCTCACTGGTCAGTTACTTTGTGTGTGTCATGTATTACCTCACTGGTCAGTCACCTTGTGTGTGTCATGTATTACCTCACTGGTCAGTCACCTTGTGTGTGTCATGTATTACCTCACTGGTCAGTCACCTTGTGTGTGTCATGTATTACCTCACTGGTCAGTCACCTTGTGTGTGTCATGTATCACCTCACTGGTCAGTCACCTTGTGTGTGTCATGTATCACCTCACTGGTCAGTTACCTTGTGTGTGTGTCATGTATCACCTCACTGGTCAGTTACCTTGTCTGTGTCATGTATCACCTCACTGGTCAGTTACCTTGTCTGTGACACATATTACCTCACTGGTCAGTTACCTTGTCTGTGTCACATATTACCTCACTGGCCAGTTACCTTGTGTGTGTCATGTATCACCTCACTGGTCAGTAACATTGTCTGTGTCATGTATCACCTCACTGGTCAGTTACCTTGTCTGTGTCATGTATCACCTCACTGGTCAGTTACCTTGTCTGTGTCACATATTACCTCACTGGTCAGTTACCTTGTCTGTGTCATGTATTACCTCACTGGTCAGTTACCTTGTCTGTGTCATGTATTACTTCACTGGTCAGTTACCTTGTCTGTGTCATGTATCACCTCACTGGTCAGTTACCTTGAGTGTATATTGTTCTACTGGTCAGTTACCTTGAGTGTATATTATTCCACTGGTCAGTTACCTTGTATGTATATTATTCCACTGGTCAGTTACCTTGTACGTATATTATTGCACTGGTCAGTTACAGTATACGGGGGCTGCAAGGTCTAGAGGTCCCGGGTTCAAGCCACTGTGAAGGCTGTGATTTTTTCACATGGACTTAGTAATTTCTCCTGGTCTCTGGGTAGTCAGATAAGACACCTGTAATGTATGTATTGTTGTACACATTAGAAAATCCCTTGGCAGTTAGAAATTGAAAAGTGTAGCCTAACGCCGCTGCCTGAGCAAAATTTGGAGATTAAATTCTCGCAGAAAAGTATTTTAAGATCCTTGTCGATGCAACGGAGTTCATGCGCTGTGCTGAAACTCTTCAGACTCATGTTTGAGTTAGAAAGACTGGAGCACTTGTGGGGTACTACCCTTGTGCCATGATGTTGATTTGTCAACTAAACTTAACTTATTACAATGTACATGCATTGTCCTGCTGGTCAGTTACTTTGTACATGTATTATCCTGCTGGTTAGTTACCTTATACATGTATTGTCCTGCTGGTCAGTGTCCTCGTACATCATGTATTCTTCTGCAGGTCAGTTACCTTATACATATATTGTCCTGCTGGTCAGTTACCTCATACATGTATTGTCCTGCTGGTCAGTGTCCTCGTACATCATGTATTCTTCTGCAGGTCAGTTACCTTATACATATATTGTCCTGCTGGTCAGTTACCTCATACATATATTGTCCTGCTGGTCAGTTACCATACACATGTATTGTCCCACTGGTCAGTTACCATACACATGAATTGTCCCACCGGCCACTTACCACATGTATTGTCCCACTGGTCAGTTACCATACATATATAGTGTCTCACTGGTCAGTTAAATTACATATATAGTGTCCCACTAGTCAGTTACCATACATATATAGTGTCCCACTGGTCTGTTACCATACACATATAGTGTCCCACTGGTCTGTTACCATACACATATAGTGTCCCACTGGTCTGTTACCATACACATATAGTGTCCCACTGGTCTGTTACCATACACATATAGTGTCCCACTGGTCAGTTACCATACACATATAGTGTCCCACTGGTCAGTTACCATACACATATAGTGTCCCACTGGTCTGTTACCATACATATAGTGTCCCACTGGTCAGTTACCATACATATAGTGTCCCACTGGTCAGTTACCATACATATATAGTGTCCCACTGGTCAGTTACCATACATATATAGCATCCCACTGGTCAGTTACCATACATATATAGCGTCCCACTGGTCAGTTACCATACATATATAGTGTCCCACTGGTCAGTTACCATACACATATAGTGTCCCACTGGTCAGTTAACATATTGATAATTATTGTCCACAGATGGTGAGCAGAGTCACCGCCCCAGCCATAATGGAGATTCCAGGGTGAGTAGTTGCTTGTTGATGGTCATGTTTGAGATTACCAGACTCACTAGCACTTTCTGCCTATCACTGTCTCATGACTACACAGTAGTCACACCACCACACCTGTAGTCACACCAACACACCTGTAGTCACACCACCGCACCTGTAGTCACACTACCACACCTTTAGTCACACTACCACAAATATGGTCACACCACCACATCTGCAGTCACACCACCACTCCTGTAGTCACACCACCACTCCTGTAGTCACACTACCACACCTTTAGTCACACTACCACAAATATGGTCACACCACCACACCTGCAGTCACACCACATCTGTAGTCACACTGCCACCTACCTTGTAGTCACACTACCACCTACCTCCCCTGTAGTCACACCACCACCACACCACCACCACACATACTTGTAGTCACACCATAATGTTTAGTTGTGTAGCATGACAAATTTCTGAGTGCACCTGTCTTTTATCTTCCAGGTAGAAGTCAGCAGACAGCAGATGTACGGCATGACATTAGGGGAGAGTCAACATTAATGTTACAGGTAAGTGGTAAATTGAAGAGATAACAATAATGTTACAGAGGAGTGGGTTATTGGAGAGAGAACAATAATGTTACAGATTGGGTTTTTGGAGAGAGAACAGTGTTACAGGGTGAGTTGGTTATTGAAGAGGGAACAATAATGTGAGTGGGTTATTGGAAAGAAACAGTAATGTTACAATTGGGTGGGTTGTTGGAGAGATAATATTAATGTTACAGGTAAGTGGATTATTATTGGATAGATAACATTAATGTTATAGGTTAGTGGGTTATTTGAGAGATAACAATACAGGTGGGTGGGCTATTGGAGATATAGCAATAATGTTACAGGTGAGTGGGTTATTGGAAAAAACATTGTTACAAATGAGTCAGTTACATTTTTGGACAGCAGACAGTTATAGAGTCCCCTGGTCCCCCATGATTTGGGTCTTCCTTGATATGTGTATGTTGTAGTTACAGTAGTATGTTACATATTACATTTATATTTTGTAGATGTTATTATATGTTATAAATCAAATTGTATTTGGTAGATCCCGTGTTTTCTCTGAGTTCTGATGTCCGTTAACCAGCCTGTTGTAACTGATGACTAATTAAATTAGATTTTAAAAAATTAAAGCGGGGAAGTGTTGGGTCGAAAAACACAATATGTGAAACAACATTTTAAGGGTGAATCAAGATCCCAGGCTTTCTAGATCAAGTTGATGTAGGTCATATTGTAGTACTTGGCAGTGAAATGATGCATGTTCATAGGTGATGTTGTAGAACTTGGCAGTGAAATGATGCATGTTCATAGGTGATGTTGTAGAACTTGGCAGTGAAATGATGCATGTTCATAGATGATGTTGTAGAACTTGGCAGTGAAATGATGCATGTTCATAGGTGATGTTGTAGAACTTGGCAGTGAAATGATGCATGTTCATAGATGATGTTGTAGAACTTGGCAGTGAAATGATGCATGTTCATAGGTGATGTTGTAGAACTTGGCAGTGAAATGATGCATGTTCATAGATGATGTTGTAGAACTTGGCAGTGAAATGATGCATGTTCATAGGTGATGTTGTAGAACTTGGCAGTGAAATGATGCATGTTCATAGATGATGTTGTAGAACTTGGCAGTGAAATGATGCATGTTCATAGATGATGTTGTAGAACTTGGCAGTGAAATGATGCATGTTCATAGGTGATGTTGTAGAACTTGGCAGTGAAATGATGCATGTTCTTATGTGATGTTGTAGAACTTGGCAGTGAAATGATGCATGTTCATAGGTGATGTTGTAGAACTTGGCAGTGAAATGATGCATGTTCTTAGATGATGTTGTAGAACTTGGCAGTGAAATGATGCATGTTCATAGATGATGTTGTAGAACTTGGCAGTGAAATGATGCATGTTCATAGATGATGTTGTAGTACTTGGCAGTGAAATGATGCATGTTCTTCTTTTATCATTCCAGGTCTGCTAGAAAAAAGAAAATACTTTCACATGAGAAACACAAACAGGCAGGGGCCGTGCCGGAGAACTTACCAGCCGCGCCCAAGGCAGACAACTGAGCCTTGTAACCTACAGAGGAGATAACTCATACTTGTAGCCACAGAGGAGATAACTCATACTTGTAGCCACAGAGGAGATAACTCATACTTGTAGCCACAGAGGAGATAACTCATACTTGTAGCCACAGAGGAGATAACTCATACTTGTAGCCACAGAGGAGCTATCTCACACTTGTAGCAACAGAGGAGCTATCTCAGACTTGTAGCCACAGAGGAGCTATCTCACACTTGTAGCAACAGAGGAGCTATCTCAGACTTGTAGCCACAGAGGAGCTATCTCAGACTTGTAGCCACAGAGAAGATATCTCAGACTTGTAGCCACAGAGGAGCTATCTCACACTTGTAGCCACAGAGGAGATATTTCAGACTTGTAGCCACAGAGAAGATATCTCAGACTTGTAGCCACAGAGGAGCTATCTCACACTTGTAGCCACAGAGGAGATATCTCAGACTTGTAGCCACAGAGAAGATATCTCAGACTTGTAGCCACAGAGGAGATATCTCAGACTTGTAGCCACAGAGAAGATATCTCAGACTTGTAGCCACAGAGGAGCTATCTCAGACTTGTAGCCACAGAGGAGCTATCTCAGACTTGTAGCAACAGAAGAGATATCTCAGACTTGTAGCCACAGAGGAGATATCTCAGACTTGTAGCCACAGAGGAGATATTGCATACAGGGGAGATAATTGTGTGGTTGTAGTGCATATCTGTTACTGGAATAGGGTGTTAGTTTAACATTTTATGGTCAGAGAGAGTGTGTGTCTAGCCAGATGGGACATGTGGAAGTCACTCTAGCAAGATTGGTGGTGTGAGCTGCCTAAATCATGTGAAACACAATGGTTCTATATCAGTGTCAGACTTGTGAGCATGCTGTCAGTGTCATGTTTATGACTGTGTCAAACATGCGGTGGGGGTGTAGTGCTGCTGTTGAAAGGCCGGATCCTCTCTGTATGGGGAGATTCACCTAGGTGTGTGGTTCACATTTCTTAATCAAAATATAGTGTGGGGATTAGGTTTGACAGTTAGGGGTGTGGAGGGGGGAGGTTTGGACAGTATTGCTGTGGGATGAGATGTGTACAGCTAGTGGTGTGGGAGTGAGGTGTGTACAGCTAGAGGTGTGGGGTGTGTACAGCTAGTGGTGTGGGGGTAGGGTGTAGAATTGGTGGTGTAGGAATGAGGTATGGTTAGATATATGTGTGAGTTATGTTTGCGGATTCCTGTGACATTCTTCCCTTTCCCCTTTGACCCTCATGTTTTGTGAGAGAGTAAATTCACAAAGTAGAAACCATGAATGACTTAATTCTCATATTTAGAGGAGAAAGCCGATCCAACTTGAGTCTGGTAGCTTGTCTCGCTGGACACGGAGACTAATAATCATTGTTGGCAATATTGCATTTGACAAGGTTTCACATTGACTGGTTGTGTAGAAACTGGCTGTTGACCACAGGTGGCCGACTGCCAGCAAGTTGGGTCTGCATTGACCACAGGTGACCGACTGCCAGCAAGTTGGGTCTGCATTGACCACAGGTGGGCGACTACCAGCAAGTTGGGTCTGCATTGACCACAGGTGGGCGACTGCCAGCAAGTTGGGTCTGCATTGACCACAGGTGGCTGACTGCCAGCAAGTTGGGTCTGCATTGACCACAGGTGGGCGACTGCCAGCAAGTTGGGTCTGCATTGACCACAGGTGGCTGACTGCCAGCAAGTTGGGTCTGCATTGACCACAGGTGGCTGACTGCCAGCAAGTTGGGTCTGCATTGACCACAGGTGGCCGACTGCCAGCAAGTTGGGTCTGCATTGACCACAGGTGGCCGACTACCAGCAAGTTGGGTCTGCATTGACCACAGGTGGCCGACTACCAGCAAGTTGGGTCTGCATTGACCACAGGTGGCTGACTGCCAGCAAGTTGGGTCTGCATTGACCACAGGTGGCCGACTACCAGCAAGTTGGGTCTGCATTGACCACAGGTGGCTGACTGCCAGCAAGTTGGGTCTGCATTGACCACAGGTGGCCGACTGCCAGCAAGTTGGGTCTGCATTGACCACAGGTGGGCGACTGCCAGCAAGTTGGGTCTGCATTGACCACAGGTGGCCGACTGCCAGCAAGTTGGGTCTGCATTGACCACAGGTGGCCGACTGCCAGCAAGTTGGGTCTGCATTGACCACAGGTGGCCGACTGCCAGCAAGTTGGGTCTGCATTGACCACAGGTGGCCGACTGCCAGCAAGTTGGGTCTGCATTGACCACAGGTGGCCGACTGCCAGCAAGTTGGGTCTGCATTGACCACAGGTGGCCGACTGCCAGCAAGTTGGGTCTGCATTGACCACAGGTGGCCGACTACCAGCAAGTTGGGTCTGCATTGACCACAGGTGGCCGACTGCCAGCAAGTTGGGTCTGCATTGACCACAGGTGGCCGACTACCAGCAAGTTGGGTCTGCATCTGGAGCCTGGCGTGTTTTTATTTCAGATGTTTTACAAACAGATTTTAGACTAACCCATTTTTGGTTTTGAACAAAAGCTCCTGTTTTAACCCTTCATGTATGTTTTCACATGTTTTAAACCTCTGGTGTGAATTGTTATGGTTAATAATTTTACACAGATGTATCAGGATAGTTTTACATGGATGTTTCTGGATAATTTTACTGGGGTGTTCCTGGATAATTTTACAGGAGTGTTCCTGGATAATTTTACTGGGATGTTCCTGGATAATTTTACTGGGATGTTCCTGGATAATTTTACTGGGGTGTTCCTGGATAATTTTACAGGAGTGTTCCTGGATAATTTTACAGGAGTGTTCCTGGATAATTTTACAGGGATTTGCTGAGACACTGGACATATTGGAGGAGAGGGGGGAAGGTATTTGTGGTGATGAATTGTTTGTGTTGAAAAGTTGTTTGTGTTGACTGAATGTTGATGTCCTCAAACTTGCAGTCAAGTCGAGACTGTTTGGATGTGTTTGTGGATTACGGATATAGTAGCTGACCCTTTCAGTCTGCCCAGAAATGTTTGGATGTGTTTGTGGATTACGGATATAGTAGCTGACCCTTTCAGTCTGCCCAGAAATGTTTGGATATGTTTGTGGATTACGGATATAGGAGCTGACCCTTTCAGTCTGCCCAGAAATGTTTGGATGTGTTTGTGGATTACGGATATAGTAGCTGACCCTTTCAGTCTGCCCAGAAATGTGTGGATGTGGTTGTGGATTACGGATATAGTAGCTGACCCTTTCAGTCTGCCCAGAAAGGGCCTCTGTTTTGTTTTCTAGAAATATCTTGCTGTATGATGTCATTTCTGTAGCTCTGCACAGACGTGAGTGTTGGTAACAGGGTGTCACATCAGTGCTGGTGCCAGCTGTCAGGAAACTCAGTGTGCCCAGGGGGAGGGAAGCTTATCCCATATGCCCTTGTATGTGTGTCTCTGACACCATATGTACACTCATGTGGTAACACATTGTTCGTGTGGCCAAAGAGGCAAGTGGAAGCTCATCTAATTGAGGTCACTGATGTGCTTGTGCTACAGTTGGTGTTCCTGGACCCACCTGACACACACCTGATCAGTGAATTATAGAACTGCTTCTGTGACTTGTCGCTCTCCACTACTGGCCAACCCCCATGGTCTGTGCCAGCCACAGCACATGCTGTCAGCTTCTAGCTCTGTCCATCGCATCTATAATATATCTTGTTTGTGTTTGAGTCCTGTGATTGATTGTTGTCTTAGTCCTGTGTGTTTGTGATTGAATGTTGTCTCAGTCCTGTGTCTTTGTGATTGATTGTTGTCGCAGTCCTGTGTCTTTGTGATTGATTTTTGTCACAGTCCTGTGTGTTTGTGATTGATGGTTTTCGCAGTCCTGTGTGTTTGTTGGGGAAATGTTTCTGCCTCAAAGTTGACTGACCTGCCGTTTGTACCTGCACTGTTTTAACATCAACTGTGAACGTGTATTTTTGTAAACACATCCATTCTGTGATGATAATGATGATAATAATGATAATTATTTAACCTGTTTTCAAATGTCTGTGTTCAACACAAGAAAGTCTGTACTTGATTTCATTAAATCTTTTATCTTGTCATCACAGTTCTGCTTGGTGTTTTTGACTCAGTTCTAGGGCATCATGCTGTTGTACTGTGCTGTGATGTGTTAGAGTTCAGATCTGACTGTTACAAGTGATGAAATGGTGTCAGTTGTGTTGTAGGGCATCATGCTGTTGTACTGTGCTGTGATGTGTTAGAGTTCAGATCTGACTGTTACAAGTGATGAAATGGTGTCAGTTGTGTTCTAGGGCATCATGCTGTTGTACTGTGCTGTGATGTGTTAGAGTTCAGATCTGACTGTTACAAGTGATGAAATGGTGTCAGTTGTGTTCTAGGGCATCATGCTGTTGTACTGTGCTGTGATGTGTTAGAGTTCAGATCTGATTGTTACAAATGATGAAATGGTGTCAGTTGTGTTGTAGGGCATCATGCTGTTGTACTGTGCTGTGATGTGTTTGAGTTCAGATCTGACTGTTACAAGTGATGAAATGGTGTCAGTTGTGTTCTAGGGCATCATGCTGTTGTACTGTGCTGTGATGTGTTAGAGTTCAGATCTGATTGTTACAAATGATGAAATGGTGTCAGTTGTGTTCTAGGGCATCATGCTGTTGTACTGTGCTGTGATGTGTTAGAGTTCAGATCTGATTGTTACAAATGATGAAATGGTGTCAGTTGTGTTGTAGGGCATCATGCTGTTGTACTGTGCTGTGATGTGTTAGAGTTCAGATCTGATTGTTACAAATGATGAAATGGTGTCAGTTGTGTTGTAGGGCATCATGCTGTTGTACTGTGCTGTGATGTGTTTGAGTTCAGATCTGACTGTTACAAATGATGAAATGGTGTCAGTTGTGTTCTAGGGCATCATGCTGTTGTACTGTGCTGTGATGTGTTAGAGTTCAGATCTGATTGTTACAAATGATGAAATGGTGTCAGTTGTGTTCTAGGGCATCATGCTGTTGTACTGTGCTGTGATGTGTTAGAGTTCAGATCTGATTGTTACAAATGATGAAATGGTGTCAGTTGTGTTGTAGGGCATCATGCTGTTGTACTGTGCTGTGATGTGTTTGAGTTCAGATCTGATTGTTACAAATGATGAAATGGTGTCAGTTGTGTTCTAGGGCATCATGCTGTTGTACTGTGATGTGATGTGTTTGAGTTCAGATCTGACTGTTACAAGTGATGAAATGGTGTCAGTTGTGAGAAAGATGTCTGAAATGTTGCCTCGTCTGCTGCTGGTTGCAGAACCAGTTGGCTTCTGGTCCATGTGAGTTAAACCTTTCACGTGTAGAAAGCGTCAAACATCCATGGCTCCTGCAACACCCCAAAACACTTACAAACAGAAGGATAGAGTCAAGAACCAAATATAAGACCAGTAGGTCACCAGGCAAACCACTTCTCAACATTTCTGTGTGAGACTGCAGAGACATGTGTCTACATTCTGTCAGTGCTACAATGTTGAAACCTAGTTACAAGTAATGTGTCTACATTCTGTCAGTGCTACAATGTTGAAACCTAGTTACAAGTAATGTGTCTACTTTCTGTCAGTGCTACAATGTTCAAACCTAGTTACAAGTAATGTGTCTACTTTCTGTCAGTGCTACAATGTTCAAACCTAGTTACAAGTAATGTGTCTACATTCTGTCAGTGTTACAATGTTCAAACCTAGTTACAAGTAATGTGTCTACTTTCTGTCAGTGCTACAATGTTCAAACCTAGTTACAAGTAATGTATCTACTTTCTGTCAGGGCTACAATGTTCAAACCTAGTTACAAGTAATGTGTCTACTTTCTGTCAGTGCTACAATGTTCAAACCTAGTTACAAGTAATGTGTCTACTTTCTGTCAGTGCTACAATGTTGAAACTTAGTTATAAGTAATGTATCTACTTTCTATCAGTTCTCAAGTGTTTAAATTCAGTTACATGTAATGTACTTACTGTCTGTCAGTGCTCAACTTTAGCATGTAATGTACCTACTGTCTGTCAGTGTTCAACTTAGTTAACATGTAATGTACCTATTGTCTGTCAGTGTTCATCCTTAGTTTAATGTATCTACTGTCTGTTTGTTCAGCCTTAGTTAACATGTAATGTACCTACTGTCTGTTACTGTCTGTCACTGTTCAACCTTATTTAACATGTCATGTACCTACTGTCTGTCAGTGCTCAACCTTAGTTAACATGTAATATACCTACTGTCTGTCAGTGCTCAGCCTTAGTTAATATGTAATGTACGTACTGTCTGTCAGTGCTCAACCTTATTTAACATGTAATGTACGTACTGTCTGTCAGTGCTCAACCTTAGTTAACATGTCATGTACCTACTGTCTGTCAGTGTTCAACTTAGTTAACATGTCATGTACCTACTGTCTGTCAGTGTTCAACTTAGTTAACATGTCATGTACCTACTGTCTGTCAGTGCTCAACCTTAGTTAACATGTCATGTACCTACTGTCTGTCAGTGTTCAACTTAGTTAACATGTCATGTACCTACTGTCTGTCAGTGCTCAACCTTAGTTAACATGTCATGTACCTACTGTCTGTCAGTGTTCAACCTTAGTTAACATGTCATGTACCTACTGTCTGTCAGTGCTCAACCTTAGTTAACATGTAATATACCTACTGTCTGTCAGTGTTCAACTTAGTTAACATGTCATGTACCTACTGTCTGTCAGTGCTCAACCTTAGTTAACATGTCATGTACCTACTGTCTGTCAGTGCTCAACCTTAGTTAACATGTCATGTACCTACTGTCTGTCAGTGCTCAACCTTAGTTAACATGTAATATACCTACTGTCTGTCAGTGCTCAACCTTAGTTAACATGTCATGTACCTACTGTCTGTCAGTGCTCAACCTTAGTTAACATGTAATATACCTACTGTCTGTCAGTGCTCAACCTTAGTTAACATGTCATGTACCTACTGTCTGTCAGTGCTCAACCTTAGTTAACATGTAATATACCTACTGTCTGTCAGTGCTCAACCTTAGTTAACATGTAATGTACCTACTGTCTGTCAGTGCTCAACCTTAGTTAACATGTCATGTACCTACTGTCTGTCAGTGTTCAACTTAGTTAACATGTCATGTACCTACTGTCTGTCAGTGTTCAACCTTAGTTAACATGTCATGTACCTACTGTCTGTCAGTGCTCAACCTTAGTTAACATGTAATATACCTACTGTCTGTCAGTGTTCAACTTAGTTAACATGTCATGTACCTACTGTCTGTCAGTGCTCAACCTTAGTTAACATGTCATGTACCTACTGTCTGTCAGTGTTCAACTTAGTTAACATGTCATGTACCTACTGTCTGTCAGTGCTCAACCTTAGTTAACATGTCATGTACCTACTGTCTGTCAGTGCTCAACCTTAGTTAACATGTCATGTACCTACTGTCTGTCAGTGCTTAACCTTAGTTAACATGTCATATACCTACTGTCTGTCAGTGTTCAACTTAGTTAACATGTCATGTACCTACTGTCTGTCAGTGATCAAATGTTCGGAGTTGGGAACACTGAAACAGCTTAGTGAGAATGTTTGCTAGGAACTGATCGATGACATTAATGGAAAGTCTGGTGGCAGAGAACACACACAAATGGCTTGTTGGAATGTTTAACCCCACACCGTCCATATCCGCCAGAGTGTTGACAAATACCGGCCCGCCTGCCGATGTCGTCCAGTTTGTGTCCACAAAAATACTGCTCTGGTCAGAAATGGACAAACACGAAACTGTCCAGTCGGCATGCAGTGCCCGGGTTCATGGAAACTGCCACAGACATTGTCGTTCCATTGTGCTCAGGTATGCCACAGACATTGTCGTTCCGTTGTGCCCAGGTATGCCACAGACATTGTCGTGCCGTTGTGCCCAGTTCTGCCACAGACATTGTCGTTCCGTTGTGCCCAGTTGTGTCTCTTGGTGCCTAGCTGGTAAATCTCCACTGATGCACATCTACAAGAGATCACTTGGGGGAGGGGGGCGTCTTAAGCCTTGTTTATTTGAAATACTAGAATGCGAAAGAACTGTTTTCCATAGCTTCAGGCATATAAGGCTTCCCTATATTTTATACTTGGTGGGTGATATAGTCAGCATCACGCCGGTCGCCTTTATTTCTCAATACCACTGAGTCGACCTGGGAAACTAGATCATTTTAAAAAAAATGTTCGGATTTGAACCCACGACCTGCAAATACGCATGCCAGCGTCTAGCCGCTACACCACAACATAATAAAGTTAGTAGCCTATCCTTGACATAAGCAACCCCAACATTTTTCGTTGTTGTGGTTTTTCAAA